CGTGATAGAGTAAGCTCGTCGTGTTCCGATGATGACTCGATTGCATCGAATTAATGTTTCACTCGATAATCTCATTAGACATGAGAATACGCAGTTAAATATTTGTTTTGGTCATGCTTTGTCATTGAAATAGTGATTTATCCGTCTGTGAAATCTAATTGAATGTTTGTGAGGGACTTCACTATCGAATTTACTTAATAAAAATTTATTATTTTGTTACGGGTTTTATAAACTAAGGTCACGAGGTTGAAGACCTAGAATCAGTCTTTACGAGCCGCGGTTGTTTCTGATATTAAAAGCTTTCTTATCAGGCCAACCTCGAGATACCCTCCAACGAATGTACAATCTTTCCACAAAATTAAACAAATTATACAAACCTCTCTGGCTGGTTTTAGTGTCACGCGAACTGTCAGTGCGGATCGCTCCGCACAGCCGATCTGTATGAACTGCTAAAACATTACCTACTCTAAAACGATCCCTAGAAGTTCATACAGATTGGCCGTGCGGAGCGGGTCCGCACCGGACGGTCCGCGTGACACTAAAACCAGCCTCTGTCTCTATCAGATCCAGAAGGTATAGATAATATCTGATAACAAATTTTAAAATACGCAGTTGGTAAGTGAAGATTAAACTTCCGGTATACCCAAAACAATAAATAGTGTTGTAACGGATGTTGACACCGAACTTGAATACCAAAATTGTTATCAAAGGACAAAGCACTTTAATACAACCAGTCAATTCATAAAAGTAAGAAATATTAATATTGTAAACGAAGTCAACTGCTCCACTTATAACTTCTAAACTTCCTGTTCACAGTAAATAAGGTTACCTTGTCGGATATTTTAAGCACGATCACTCAATAAAAATGTCGGCGTGTCTGTACATTATTAATACCGAGCGGAATTATTGTTCTTCACGGAAAAATAAATCAACAATAATCCAAGTATCAGTTAACGCAACTACCTAGTAACTTAGAGTATTTTAATACTTATTTAAGTCAAAGATTACCTAATACCATTTCAGTGCAATTAGTCGCTTCTGAGACTTAATTTGGCATTATTAGACCACTATTGATTGATGGACATAATTGCATCAAACTGTTGACATATACTCGTACTACATGTGAACATATCTTTAACTGAGATCATATCTAATAGAGTAAAACATACAGCTAAACGTTATTATTTATAATTCTCTACAAAAAGAAACGATTGCTTAGCTAGTTTACTTAGTACTTACCATATTATGTCACAAGCCATTAAAATTTGCTTTTTAAGGGATTTGAGCCCACAATCGCTTTGGCTTCTCAAAAACCGAAACCAAACCACAAAACTACTTTCGTTGTCTCATCAAACACCGATATTTGAAATAAATATACTTTTACTGAATTATTAACGATGCACCTACTTCATTGCGCGAATATATCAAGCGGTCAGCCACCTGTCGGCCAGTCATGCGTGAGGCTTGGGCTTCCTTATAGAGGTGGAGCGGATACCAAAATATACGATGAAATATCCGGTTACGTGAGCCTGCGTAAGATGGGAAGGGTCACAAGATGCGTGCCGGATATTATAGCGGACACGCCGCCTCACTAGTCATTGGAATTCGGGTAATTCTCATTGTGAAACGTGCTGACGTTAAATTTTGTTGTGAAATTTGGGTAATTCTCGCGGGCAATACAGACTCGATGGTGCGCAAAGGCATTCTGTAACCTATACGTGCTTTACTCGAGGCTTCAACGAGGTCAAATATTTTTCTTTGTTGACGTTTCCGATGAATTGCTTTTCTAAGGAAATTATTCATGTCTGAATGTGGAAATCATATCTTTTAGGAGTTTTGGGGACATCTCCGCTTCTGCATCAAAATAACTATATTAGAAAATATCCTGTTCAGTGACACTCTAGCTTATTCTGATATGTGTGATACGAGTGAAATAAGATCATGCATATCCCAAAAAAATAATATAAAAAAATATTTTTTACTGTAATCTTTCTGGAACGTAACGATATGAAAAAAACGTTGCCATAATCTAGGTAAGATCATGGCAACGTTTTTTTCATATCAATGTGTCTTTTTCCTATTAAAAAGATTTTTAGCTGAGTTATGTTGTATTTAAAAGTTCCTTGGGATCGAACTAGCGTACTTTCGAATCGGTAGTACCTACGCTGCCGAAATAGTTAAAAGCTATTGCAGCCCCATTCATCTTAAGATTGAAGTGGCAGTTACTTGATGAAGGCAAGTTTAACAATAAAATTAAAAGAGTGTGAGATTTTCGTTCGAATCATACAATTTATTTATAAGAATCCAATGTCAGTGTATTGTTCCACGCACCTGGGAACCGGTCGTGCGAAAATCTTGGGCAATGTTTGATAACACTTACAATAAGTTTGGTTACACGATACTTACTGATACGTAACTAATTAAATTATTAACTAGGACGCATAATGAGCAGGTTAAAAATATGTTTAATTGCAATAACGAACTCAATTTTACAGTTTTTAAAGGAAAATAGTAAAAAAGGGATTATGATACACACGCCTCACACTTCATATTTTAGAATGTATTAAATGCGCTTACAGCTCATTTAATTTAAATAAATTAAGGAGATCCTTGCCCAGGTCATCTAACAGATGTTCATTGAAAACTCCGAACTATTTCGAAGCCTAGGTCTGTCGCCATAACAACAAGCTAAGAGCATTGTTGTCAAGTGTTTCGGCAGTATAAAAGTAAGATAACTATTCCTTTGTGGTTGAGGATTCCGGATGAATCTCTCTTCCACCTTCTGCCTGTCATCACTTGCCATCATGCAGGCCAAGAGCTTTCTTGTTAAAAAATCTTCAAATAAAACCTCTATTACACATTTATGACAAACTATCGACATGAAAAACAATTGAAACCAATTCAAAACAATTGATATCGTGATACAGCATACCTTGGATTACTCCAAATAGATTAGATTAGGCCACGAGCACACGACCGCGAGAACCGGTTCGATCCTCGTCCTTTGCTTAACCTACATAACCCGTGGGGTCAGAGTAAGGGCGAATGCACACGATGTGGTTCACCAATTTCATTTCTGAATATTTTAAAGTCAGGTGTTGTTCCCATTGATTAAAATGAACATGAGTGATGTTCCTAATAATAAGATTATGGTTGGTTTGATTTAATATTCCTGTAACTACTAGGTAGAAGTTTCCATCATGAACTTTTTCTCGTATATTTTAAGCTAGCAAGACTCAAAATAACTACAGAATAAAATACGCCCAAAATATTTTTTCCTAGGCATCTTTACGGGAACTTGGATATTTATTTATTACAATCAATTTAATGTAGCGCCATACTTGATTGCTGTCTGATTTATATCAGAATCTTTAATTACACTATCAGCATATTAATAATTCTGTTTATAAAACCGGTGACGGTTTTACGATCAAAAGCTAAACATACAAAACCGGTAATCGCCAGTGTATGCAAGGACTTATTAGCTTAATTACCGTGGTGAGTGGCGCTCGTATACTCGCATGCAAATAACGCAGGTGCTGTTCTAACATGCATGCATATAAAATAGAGAACATAATAGAGTTTTGGTTTTAAAGCGATTTTGTTCCCATAATAAGGCTGTATATTTCTAAACATAAATAAATTAAACAACAATGGTTTTGCTGACAACCTAAACAAAAAACAATTGGAATCCTATATTGTGCGAATTTGACTGAACTGAAATTCATCTAAGTAGTGTCTACTATTACCTACTTTTATAGAGCCTTAGAGCTGGTCTGATAGTGGACCTCTGTACGGCTAGCATGAAAAACTTTCGAGTTCGAATCGTTTGCGAATTCGAATCGCCATCAAAAGATTTAATACGAAAACTACAACAGCGCCCTTGTGAACGTGTCGTAAAGTGAACTTAGTATGAGAAATGGTTGCACGAAACTTATTTTGAGAATCAAAATTATCACTTTATCGTTTGATTCGAAGGTTGAGTATCGAATTTTGTCGAATACGCAAACGATTCGAAGACGAAACTTGTTCATGCTAGAGGTACAGTTCCTTTCAGAAAAAAAACTTAGCTATCTTCTTCCGATGGTGATTCGAACCTATCTTATTTTCCTGTCACCTAAGGGGTCTTTTTAAACGATTTCCGCTAAGGGAGTGCATGAAGCTTAAAAGTGTCAGTCACAAAGCACCACAAAGTAAGAAACATGTACCTTAATAATTTTGTCCGTTGACCTATTTAGTAAACTCCATGACTGCAAGTGGTCATCGCTTGTAATTGAACTAACAATAAAATGTATCATACAAATTCTTTCTCACGTTCAACAATCGCATTGTCTACAATTCGTGTCGACACGTCTCGAATTTTAAAATACCACGCTTCTTTATTTTAGTACTCTTGAAAAGCTTTATAGTTAATACCATAAGGTTCAATTTAAACTTTGCGTACAGTAAACAGGTTTGTGGAATTTTTCATCAAAGTTCAATCGGTGCATTGAAGACAACAGTTATATTGATTCCGATTCGAGTAATAATTTTGGATGGGATTGATCGGTTTATGGAGCGTGTCAATCGATTACAGTTCTCGTATTTTAGAACGAGAGAATAGTAGTAATAGCATAGCTAAAGGTGCATCTCCGTGTTGCTCTCGCTATCTAACCTTGCTCTACTTAGTTGCGGCGAATGTTTTGTCGCAATGGAACGTCCGGTCTCGATTGACAGAGCAGTTTTCTTCGGCTTATTTTCCATCGTTTCTTAATGAATTGCTATCGATAAACACCCAGGTACCTACTTAACTAAAGTCATTCATCATCATCATGATCATTTCAGTCATAGAACGTCCATTGCGGAACATAGATAAGCCTCCCCCAACTGCCTATTTCCACATGGCCTGTTGCAATTATTAACACGTCAAAATTAAGAAACCGTTTTACAAATGTTGATGTGCTTTAGCTTAATGACGCCTGAAAAACCTATTACTTACGGAACATTTTTATTCTTTACAGGTAAACTGACAGGCGAAGAAGAGGATTTATTTTCGTTAAAAGCATCAGCAACACAATCAACAGATGGTACTACTTCAACTACCACTACCAGCACTACAAGTTTACCAACTCGATCTACCCCAAAGATAGAAGAGAGAACAGAAAACAAAACAGAAGAAATAACCACCACAGAAGTTCCAGAAGAAACATCAGTTAAACCTAAGCCTAGATTATTAAATTTAAATGTAGACGAGTTGCAAACATTTGCGAATGCTTTACATAATCAGAGCAACCAGAATGATCCTAAAAAGGTTCTGCCCGACCTCAGTGATGTTACATTAGATGGAGATGAAGATGAAGAACCAAAAATGCACACAGAAGCAAAACATAAACAGATATCCGATAAGTTTTACTCAAATCTGCAAGCGCCTTTTCATCCTCTGCTAGGAGTAGATAGAGCGTCTGGAGAAGTAGAAGTGTGTAAAGAGAATGAAGTCACTTACAAGGTTAGTATTAGCATGGTATTATTCATATTAATCCAATAATAGATACTGTCAATAATGAATATTCAGAAATTAAAACTTACGCTTAAATTGTCGGTAGTGAGACGATAATTCAAATTCAGAAAATAACACTGTAGGATTTGCTTGTAACTTCTTGGTAAAATAAATTATCTCACCCACTGTATAAAATTTTGTCAGATCGGCGAACGAATTGATCGAGGCTGCGAGGAAACGTGCGAGTGTTCGTCAGGCGGCACCTTCGAATGTTCGCCACGCTGCAAGCATCCCTACATCCGGCGTGGCAGGAGATTGAACGACCCTCTTTGCTTCGAATCTCCAGTAGACGAGTGCTGCTCCATTATAGCATGCGCCACTGGCAACGGTGGTAAGTGCCCCGTTAGGTATTCTTATTTGACCGCAACTTTTTTTATATACTATCGAACAGTGTTTTTTTTTCACGACCATCTTTTTTGGGTAGTTATGCCTCGTCATTTTATTGTGACTGCTTTTGTGATACATCTAAAGTATTTGTAACAAAATGCTGAACCAAATAACCTAACAGTCGATTTATTGACTTATTTTTGTAGCAAAATAGCTCATACTACAACCACATAGAGTCGTTTTGTGATTTTAATTATCTATGATTTCAGATATGAAACCTACGAAGCTGGAAGTGTGTCGATACGGGAACGACACATACCCAGTGGGCGCACAGTGGCACATTGGCTGCGAGCAGACCTGCACTTGTGAGAAGAACTCTATTGTGACTTGTAAGCCTCGGTAAGAAACAAAAATGTTACTCACAACTTAAAATACTGTTGGTGCAGTTTACAGGTTACTAGATTGGTTACTAGTGCCCAGGTAGTTCTAAGCTTTCAGAAATGACTTGATTTACAAATAAAGCCTAATTATACCTAATACAGTCTTCTAGGATTAACTTAAGCAAGCACAGACTCTTTATAATACTGAAGATATCAAATTATTTTACAGATGTGAGCGTCATCCACCTTCAGATAAATGTATCAACGTGCAGGATCCAAATGACGCGTGCTGCGAGGTTCAAGTCTGCGATGTCTCACAGGACGTGCACGAGGAGCCAGAAAACGTCACCAGTTCTAGCACATCTACTACTGAGGTAAATATAATATGACGGTCATTCTCCGGATCTGGATTATTTTGTTGATTACCCCGACCTTTTTTATTTTTTAATTTAGAGTAAGTTTAGGTAAAACATTTCAAAATAGACATTATTACGAGCATATTTTTTATATTGGCCCATCTGTAGCAAGCAGGAATAAAAAGTTATGCGACATCAAAATTTTCATGGTCGGGGTAATCAAAGTTGGGGGTCAGAGTAATCAAAAATAAAACAAAATATTTTATTTTCTAAGGTTTTTTTAAAGTTATGGTAAAATAAATGTTATTATAACTAGCCATTTGTTATTTTGATGTATAAACGTCAATATTGTAAAGTTTCAATAAAATCTGTTAAGTAGTTGTTGCGTAAAAGAGTAAAAAACATACATTTATACATTATACATATAATATTAATGACTCAATGTCCTATGTCTCCTATATGGGACAGAAGGCGTCCACAACAGTCCTCCATCGCATTCGGTCTTGAGCTTCGTGTTTGATCTCGCTCCAAGTCTTAACAGTGCGCCGCTATGTTTTTTTGGCGCGACCACGTTTGCACTTTCCCTGGGGGTTCCAATCTAGAGCCTGCTTGGGGATGTGATCGGGGTCCCTTCGGAGAGTGTGGCCGATCCAGTTCCACTTGCAGCGTTTATTCTGCTGAAAGATCGGTATTTCGTGGCAGCGTTCCAAAAGTTCGTCGTTTTAAGGTTTATCCTGAGCCCTGCCCAATCTGTAAGTTGAATCCCATATGTTTTAATACACAAAAATGCGGTTACATGGACCATTATTCCTGTACATTCTCAAGAACTTTCCATGTAAAGAAACCTAAAAAAACAGGATAGAGTAAATCAATCGTGCACTGAACCAAGGTCGGGGTAATCATATTCTTATCTCGATAACTCCGAAATCCTGCGACGAGTTGCATTACCGATCACCTCGGCACGCAGGCCACCACTAAAGGTTCACGGGGGAGGATAGAGCTCGTTTCTAAATTGCGTAGCTAGGGACGTAGGCGCACATTAGTGACGTGTCGGGGTAATCACGGTTAACGCCCGGACACAACTTCAAATAGCTATTTTACAAAACCTTTTAGTCATATAGTTATATCGTATTTAATTTATCAATGTTTATTTAATCAGTAATCGATTACATAAGCATTGAAAGCGGTAATGATAACGGATTAATTTATACGAGCAAATTTGTTCTGAAATCGGGAGCGCGGACACGTCGTGGTAATCAATTTTTGACGACTTACGATTTTTTTAAAATTACTTAATTAACTATTATTAACTATCTCTGTGGTTTAACAACAAGAACCAAAGTTATACTATTAAATAAAAATATTTGTTACTAAAATATTATGATATTCGGGTACTTTTTGGCCCCGGACACGTGATTTTCTTGGCCGGTGGAATGACCCATGAACATCTTCATGGCTTTACTGTGTCAATGAATGAAAAAGTTTTAAAGGCGTACTAATCAAAATCACAGCTAGCCATGTAGATTACGAGGTCAGTCTAATTAATGACGTTTTGTACCGTAATTTACAGACCACGAGATCGTTCGAAGATTATCAAGAGGAGCAGTTCAAAACCACAATGAGGCCACTCGTGTTACCTGAACCAATCGGGTCAGTGAAGGTGCTACAAAACAACACAGTGCAAGTGAATCTGATACACATGAACAACACCGAAGATCCTATACACTTACTACTAAGCAACGATAATGGGAAATCTTTTAAAGACGTAGAACTGACCTACTCTAACTTAATACTGAACTTGGAAGGTGGGAAGGATTATATTCTGAAGACCAAAGAAACAGGAACGAAGTTCAATTTTACGATAACAGCATCTGATACCGGAGCTAATGAAGTTCCAGACGAGGATATAGCTAATTCAACCAAAGTTGGGTGCTATCAAGATGGAGTATTTTATGCTGTTGGTAAGTTAAATATTCTAACGACTTCTTTCACAATCAGACTTGAACACATTATTATTAGAAATCCACAAACTCTACTACGCCTTATGCTTGCCCCAATGTACCACATAAGCATTCTTCAAATGTTCTGCAAGAAACACGAGTAACTTAGCATATCTATGTATATGCGCACTATGCTGTAGAGTATAATGATCTGTTACTAACGCATTTAAGTAACTTAAGGTCGCTGTATGCTGCAGCATGTCTCAGAAATTTTATCTAAATGATCTGATTAAAATTCTAATTTTTCAGGTGAGGAGTTCCATATCAGCTGCACAGAACTCTGTGAATGCACTGGTCCTGACACTCACGAGTGTGTCGCCCTGGTGTGCCCCTCACACGTGGGTTTGGAGCTGGTGTCTAAGGGCTGTGTGAGATGGGCGCCCAGCCCTCCAGCTCAGCCGCCCAACTGCTGCCCGCGGTCTGCCAGGTGTCTTAGCGATGGGACTTGCCATTATAATGGAGTGCCGTAAGTGTTATTTATAATAAACGACTTTTTCTTTCTTTCAAAATTCCAACACTTCAAAGATACTGTTATTGTTTGACATAGCATGTAAACATTGTAATTAAAATGTTACTTTGTAATTTCAGGATACCAAACTGGAGTGAAGTGCCAATCTCTCTGACTGGCTGTGAACAACGATGTTTCTGCGAGAATGGCGACTTAGAGTGCCAGGAGACCTGCTCACCTTTGCCCCCTGTCCCTCCTCAGTCCCTTAGATGCCCTCCCCTACATAGACCAGCCCCTGTCAATATATCCGACGATGACTGTTGTAAGCAGTGGGGATGTCTGCCGAATAGTATTGGTAAGCAAGGAAAAAATTGTAAAATTAAATCATATTTTTTTGGATAAGGTTCAGGTGATGGTATAATCAATAGTGATTCACTGCACTAGCTTGAAAAAAAAACATTCATGAAAATAAACTATGATATTAATCAGTACAAAAATACTATCACATCATCTAACGAGATATTTTATCATTCATTTATCATTATCAAAGCATGTTTCATTTATCACTCATTATTCCTTACAGCTGCCAGTTCGAATGCGACAAATTTTCCTAAATACAGAATGCAGACTATAGATGACATGCCCTTTAAATACGTGACACCAATCGCACCACTGTTACCGACAGTATCTACATCTGTTCTGCCCACTCCACCAATCACGACTGACCCCACAGAATTCTATCGCCATCTTAGCCCAATCAAAACGTTCCCAAAATTTTTAAAACCACCTGCACCTATGTTTAACGACATTTCGAAGTACTCTATAGAAGCACCACGAAAATCATCGCATGGTGATAATATCACTGTGTTCACTTTAGAAGACGTTGAATCACCTTTCAAAATTATTCATCCAGATCCGTCACTAACTAGCAACAACAATCACTGGATTCCCAATGATCAGGTCTTAAGGCCTAACCAAATGTTGCTGGAACCTATCAAAGTACCTTTAAATCTTGCACAAACGATACAGCCTTCAAAACAGAAATACAATAACTTCGTTTTATCAGATCATAAAATGCATGATCATATCCAAAATTCTAAAATTCACCCAGTAGACGAAACTAAATACGAGCCCTTTAGAAAAGTGCCTATTTCTAAAGTTGATCGTTTTAATTATTTTTTACCGAGTTATGATAAGAAACCTTCAATGGCTCCATATAAAACAGTTGAGCCTAAAACTACCACTGCTCCATTTTATCCGACGAAAACCTTTTTTGAACCAATTCAAAATCAAACCACTGATGGCGAGCCTTCAAAAGAATTCCCCAATTTGAGTTCCCATTCAAGTAATGCCCGAGACCACCCTTACCATAGTTCCCGTGGTAAGCATGTGACGATACTTAGGACGAAAGACTTGAAGACAAGACCTAGTGACAATAATTTGTGGAGTCAAGATACAAAGACGCACGTTTTGACAAAAGCTCCAAATCCTTACGAGACTGTTCTGTTGCGACCGGTGCCTAACGTTAGAACTGAAGTAACGTCGAATTACAATCACAATGCGAAGATTCCTCGGATCGCTGAGAAAACATACTCGGCATTAGACTTAGAACATCTCCTGAGTCAGATGGAAGTGGAATCCGAGGTGAATAGGAATCTTGGACGGTCGGCGGACAGAAACCGCGACGGAACAGCGGCAGGTCAGCTCCGACTGTGTTAGCTGTTTGTTCTATGTAGTACACCTTATGATGAAGACTTGACTTCCAAAACTCGACTGACTGAGACTGTGCCTTATAACATTAATAGTTTCACTTCATGTTTAGTGGGATCTGTGTCTAACTATCCGTGTTCATGTACCATTAACCATACCCTATTTTCACTCACAAATCACAACTAACCAAGTAGTAATAGTACCTACGTTGTATCTATTGTGTGCTTAATAAAGTGTAGTTATACAAATACTGTAACTGATTTCTGTTTCTATAGGTCACCAAACTCCAGCTACAGATACGCCAACACATTCAACTCATCCTCAACAGCCCTCTTTCTTGCCCACCATTCCTCCTGACCTGCATTTCCCTCAAGAGGACATTCCAGACTACGATCAGAACAATATCCATCGACCGGTGAACTCCTTGCCTGGTCTGCCGCCAGGCTTGCACTTGCCAACGAACCACATAGATGATAATAAGAAGCTGTCAGTCATTTCACTGCAAGGAGACTCACCGACCAGTGTGATGATGCTGTTTGGACTGCCTCCAGTACTGGTGGGCTTGCGAGGAAGTGTGGACCTGCGATATACTGATAAAGCGTAAGTAAACAGATTGATTTTGAATACCTACTTAACAAGCGGCCGCCCGCGAATTCGTACGCGTGGATAAAATCGATCTAAAAGGAACCCCCTTGCAAAATTTGAGACTCCTAGCACTTGTAGTTTCTGAGATTCCGTGATAAGTGAGTCAGTCAATCAGTGACCTTTCGCTTTTATAGATATAGAAGATGTCACATAAGTCAGTAACTGTTTTGCTCTATATCAGCTATTTATTGAGACTTACGTCATTTCTTAACATTTTCAGGGACGAAGATATAACGAACTGGTATTCACAAGTGTTCGCTCCTGCTGACGAGGTGCTCACAACTCCTCGACTGGAGTTCAGGCTCACAGGGCTGAAGCCTTCCACCACGTACAAAGTACGAGGCAAGCTGTACTTGCACAACCTTCCCGTGGAACCTGAGAGCGAGATCTATACTGTGAGGACTTTGGACTTGCCCACGGTAAGTGCTGAACAACTTTCAGAAGTACATAACTATGTAGCTGTAGTAGTCCGCGACTTTGCTCACGTATTTCGGCCTTCCACACATAATTTGAATCTCGCGAACTCACCATTCTTATCTTATTGTTCTCGGCATGTTCTCACCTAAAAATAGTCATAAGTTTTCTTCATATCGCCAACAAACTTTCATCCGTCATTTTTGTATCTTCAATAACTTGAAGTCTCTACATATCTCTTACGAAAAAACTTTAACTAGTATTTTCGTAAGATATATTATGTAGAGACCTTCTGCAATATTAACTCATCAAAATTGGTTATCTTTTTGGCAACAGATAAGTACTTTCGTATTTATAATCTTACTTATCCTCTCTTAATCACAGGTGGCTCCAGCCGAAGAGAAGCGCAGAGAGATCGACAGTCAACTAACTGTTGTGGACGTGAACGATACAGTGGCACACGTCAGTTGGAGGCACTTCGCTGAAGAAGAACTGCAGTTCATCGACGGCATACAAGTCAGGTGTGTAACCTTTAGGGTATTTGGTGACATGTATGGCGTGTGTGCATTATTGCGCGAATCAGTTTATGCCACTGTACCGATAGTAAGATCCTGCCACTCACTAGTGGCTTAAGCCTAATGGCGCATCTAGTAAGCACTGAAATGGTAAGAGGAATAACGCATTTGCACTTACCAGGATAGCGCTACTATCTAAAGTTTAAAAGTTCTGTCACTACTCACTCACTCGTCAATGGCGTCAACTAGGTACATAGTAATTAAGCGCAAATACCCTCATAGTATTATTTTCGAAAACTTCTGTCTTTGCAAAATTTTATGTAAGCCTTCATATCACATTTTCAGATACCGACCGGTAGGAACGCCCATCTACAGCATGACAGAACTGCTCCACCACAGTCGATCAGCTGCGGAACTGCACGATCTGCGCCCTGGAAGTCGATACGAAGCCTCTTTGGTACTCATCCCTCCTCCGAGGGCCACTACAGAGCTTCATGACCCTGGAGTTGTTGAGTTCACGACATCGCCTTATGTTGGTAAGTACTCAGTCACTTTAAGTTGCAAAAGCAGGAAATCCATGTTCTATCGGCCACAGTGTTAACTATCCATATCCATTTTTGCTCTCGCTCTCAAATGGTGATTCTTTACGATAGAACGAGACGACATGACCGGCATTGCCAATAGTACATGAGATGCTTAACATATATCTTTGGCATAGACCCTGAAACTTGCCAGCTACTAAAGAAAAAAAAAGTTCTTATAATAAAAACATTATCTTCTTCCAGATCCGTACAACTGGACAGTGACCATAGAAGCGCGCGCAGTGGGTTCAGAAGCAGCCGAGCTGACGTGGCGAGGAGTTCCGTCTCCCGCTGAACGCTGGGTGCGGGTGTACCGCGCGGCCCACGCGTGCGGCCAGCCCGCCACTCGTAGAGAGCATGACGCCTTCCGACTGGCTGCCAGGGACTTGCCTCCAGCTGTGACGCTTACTGGTCTGGAGCCTGATACTAGGTAAGAAGCAGAATTGATGTAGCGAGAAGTGCCGTCTCCCGCCGAGCGCTGGTTGCGGGTGTACCGCGCGGCCAGCCCGCCACTCGTAGAGAGCATGACGCCTTCCGACTGGCTGCCAGGACTTGCCTCCAGCTGTGACGCTTACTGGACTGGAGCCTGATACTAGGTAAGAAGCAGAACTGACGTGGCGAGGAGTGCCGTCTCCCGCCGAACGCTGGGTGCGGGTGTACCGCGCGGCCCACGCGTGCGGTCAGCCCGCCACTCGTAGAGAGCATGACGCCTTCCGACTGGCTGCCAGGGACCTGCCTCCAGCTGTGACGCTTACTGGACTGGAGCCCGACACTAGGTAAGAAGCAGTGGAAGTGACGTGCAAGGAGTGCCGTCTCCCGCTGAACGCTGGGTGCGAGTGTACCGCGCGGCCCACGCTTGCGGCCAGCCCGCCACTCGTAGAGAGCATGACGCATTCCGACTGGCCGCCAGGGACTTGCCTCCAGCTGTGACGCTTACTGGTCTGGAGCCTGATACTAGGTAAGAAGCAGAATTGATGTAGCGAGAAGTGCCGTCTCCCGCCGAGCGCTGGGTGCGGGTGTACCGCGCGGCCAGCCCGCCACTCGTAGAGAGCATGACGCATTCCGACTGGCTGCCAGGGACTTATTGCCTCCAGCTGTGACGCTTACTGGACTGGAGCCCGACACTAGGTAAGAAGCAGAACTGACGTGTCGAGGAGTGCCGTCTCCCGCCGAACGCTGGGTGCGGGTGTACCGCGCGGCCAGCCCGCCATTCGTAGAGAGCATGACGCCTTCCGACTGGCCGCCAGGGACTTGCCTCCAGCTGTGACGCTTACTGGACTGGAGCCTGACACTAGGTAAGAAGCAGTGGAAGTGACGTGCAAGGAGTGCCGTCTCCCGCCGAGCGCTGGGTGCGAGTGTACCGCGCGGCCCACGCGTGCGGGCAGCCCGCCACTCGTAGAGAGCATGACGCTTTCCGACTGGCTGCCAGGGACCTGCTTCCAGCTGTGACGCTTACTGGACTGGAGCTCGACACTAGGTAAGAAGAGTGCAGTGGCAGTGACGTGCAAGGAGTGCCGTCTCCCGCTGAGCGTTGAGAGCTCGAAACCTTCTGGCTGCTAGGAAGCTGCCACCAGCTGTGACACTTACTTACAGAGCTGGAGTCGGACAGTTCTGACACTAGGTAAGCAGGCGAGCTGACGTGGCAAAGAATGTTGTTTTTCTCCGAGTACTGGGAGCACGACACTTCCCAACTAGCTGGCCAGAGACCTATCTCCAGCTCTGACTCTCATTGAAATGCCTCACACTGTACGAAATTTATTACACCAGGGACTCTAATGTATCATCCAGCCAACTAAATTGTTTGTTTTTCTTTCCAGATGTCGTGTCTGGCTAGAATTGTTCCTGACTAACGGAAAAGTGAAGACAAGTAATGTTTTGGAAATCACAACAAAATCTCTGGACTCACCAGAGCCTATTGACAGTAAGTGTGCTCTACATCTAGTATTCCTACGCCCGTATTCACAAACATTACTATGAGGTCTCACAGTGCGCGTGGACGCACAGGGTGACGCACGAACCAATCAGAGAGCTCTATTCAACTCTGTGTGTTTGATTTGCTGCTTCACTTAAGCAAGCGTTTGTGAATACGCGCGTTAGTTACATCTGGCAATTGACACTCATAGACGGCATAATTTTCGATTTAGGATGTAATTGATGACGTGAACTAAATGGTTTTTGTCTTCTTCAGATGAGATAGAAGCAGCATCATCATCAATCGCCAACAGCCGCGGCAGTCCTCGCGGGGACTACTACGGAGCCCTAGTAGTAGTAGGGGTGGTGGCAGCCCTAGGGGCGCTGACGTCACTACTGCTGCTACTAGTAGTCGTGAGGAGGCATCGACCTCGCTCCGTGCCTATTACACGTAAGTTAATGCAATGTCACCTCAATTTTGTAACCATAACTTAACCATAAAGGTCGTCGCACATTTAACAATCCCGAAAGGGATCGTAACCGTATCAACACGAGGCGGTCAATATTATTTGTATGAAACTCCATACAGCAACGCACACTTATCCGCACCGTAACGTAAACGCCTCACCTCGCGTTTGACAGCGCGCGAAAGGCTATATGGTGTTATTAATTCCTTTCCGCGTTGATAAGTCTGCTTTTTAATTTTATCACTGGGTACCACAGGGTGCAAAATTATCTATACTGTCTACTTAATTTTGTTTTAATTTTGCAGCTGTGCCATCCGCTCCTCGCGAGTCCTCGCTGCCGCCATACGACAATCCTGCGTACAAACTAGAGTTACAACAGGAAACTATGGGTAAGGCTGATTTTTCTTTCATATTCACTAACTAAACGTGTATGACTATGTCGTTAACATTATCATCAATGACCATCAGTCCGATAGTCATTCATTGAGACGCCTTTATAGGGCACACAAAGCTTTTTTCAGCCACCTTCGACAAGCGTTTGATGCGCTGCTAAAGATTGATTTGCTGCATAGCCACATTTTATGTTATTTTACCTAAGCTTAGAACACATTAAATACTAATCTACCCAAACTAAAACCCCACACCAAATAGGTTTTTGCTTAGTAATCGAACTCAGACCATTCAGCGACCTTGTGTCTAACCACTGCCTCTGGTAAAACTGTAGATTCTGCCTACGCAGAAGTTGCAGCAGAAGGGATAATACTTTAAAATATCAGAAACGTAACATATTCATCTGTCAGAGGCTGAAAAAAAAAGACTATCAGTTGAATTAAGGTTCAAAATCTACTTATTGTTCTCATACTAGCTCAAGGGTTATGGACCTAATTAACAACGTTCTCTATCATATTTCCAGATCTTTGACAGTTAAGCTCCCGTGGGCACGCCAATGGCCTCAACGGGATATCAGAGCGCGGTGTTGACGTCCCGAACGGACGAACATACAACGAGATGGGCGTATAAGCCATTGTACACATGTGACAGAGCTGTAGACCCTGGCTATACAGGAGTAGCAGTGGGAACGACAGGTGGGAAAATTCCCGAAAACATGTGACAGGACGGTGCCAGTGAGTGTACGCTAGAACTCAGAACAGTGCTATGTCGATATTTTGTTAGGCGTTTCTAGATTATCTTTAGTATTTTCTACACTTGTGATGTAGCCTTTTCATAACTTGAAAACCTTTCAGATCTCTTTGTACGGAAAATGTGAAATCTTATTTATGTGACTCTTCTATTTTTAGTCTCATTTCTTATTTTTTACGTTAGTTGTATAACAAATACTCGAAACTACGAATTTTTAACTTCTCGATTTGATATTATTTAAAATTGAAGCAAAATAAAAATAATTATTTAATAGTTCCTGTAATTAATACAAATCAGTGAACTATGAAAAACAAGAAATGAGTGCCTTAATTAATGTATAATAATTAAAATAAATAATATTTACCTACCTTGTTCTTTTGTAAATAGTGTTAATATAGGTAGTTAATTATTTGTTTAAAATGGTGAATACAAATAATTTGTAAAATAATGTTTTTTACTGACACTGAACTGCCGCAAAAATAATATCTTTTGTAATATACAATACATTTTTTAAATCTTTTTGTATTTTATTAATACCCTCATATTACTATTAGTATTTCATACTTGAACGTACAGTCCTCTCAACTTAAGCTGAGAATTGCATTTGTGTGAGTGCACACCGATAGTTTAGAGTGGCAATCGGCTTGAAGCGCGGCGCGTCCCGCGCATGGTTTATTATAGCAAGCGGCCTGAAGCGCGGCGCGTCCGCCACGCACCGCTTCCTTGTCGCTCACATACTTCACTTCACCCCCGGTACTGGTAGCAGATACGTGTAATTTTATGTAATTGTGTTCCAAATATTAGTGAAATGGCTCCTACTGTATGAATTTCCTGTACGAAATCCATTAAGCAGCCAAGTGAAAGAAATTTTATGCAAATTGAATACGTATTTTAAAGGTGTGAACGAAAAGTTTTTAGTCTGTTTTTATTTTGTAATTTTATAAAGTTTGTCTTTTTGTTGTATTTTGTAAGGCTGGCTGAACGCCCTCTCTATAAACGGTGCTCGCAGAATATCAGCGTCGAGGTACTTCGTGCCTTGGCATATGCTGAGCGAGGACCTGTTTTTATTTATTTATTTAAAAGGATGTGTCAAGTGTCGTTACATCGGCCCAATTGGTAGCAAGTGTTTTATAGACTTCCTTTTAATAAAACATTAATTTTATTTGTACGAGGGCGGCACTGAAAATTTCGGGAATCAAGGAAGTGAAACAACATTACTATTTAAAAATGTATTTATTGCTTTTTAAAGTATTCTCCGCGAAATTTGACACATTTTTCCATACACGAAACCAATCATTGAAGCAACCATTGCATTCGGAAGTTTGGGTCTCCAAAATGGCCGTTTTGTAGGCTTCCACAGCTTCTTCAGGTGATGAAAATCTCTGACCACGCAATTTATTCTTTATTTTAGGGAAAGTATAGAAATCATTAGGGCTTAGGTCAGGGCTGTACGGCGGATGGACTAATAATTCTATGTTTTCTTGCTCTAAAAACTCTTTTGTTCAGTGCGCGGTGTGAGAACTCGCATTGTCGTGATGGAGGATGATGCGGCGGTTGCAGTTCTCTTTACGGAGTTCAGAAACGACCTGTGGCAAACAAATGCTAGCATACTAATCTGCATTAACCGTTCTTTGTCCCCCAAGAGGAATAGTCGCAACATGGCCGGTTTTGGAGACAAACGTGGCCACCATTTTTTTTGCAACACTCCGTGAACGAACAATTTTTGTTGGCTTTAATTCATTTTCGAACACCCAAACTCGTGACTGGTTTTTTGTTTCGGGTTCGTACGCGTATATCCATGATTCGTCACCTGATACGATGTTGTATACAGCATTTGAGGATCCTGCATGTAATCTCCCGAGAGTTCTGACGCACCAAGTAACGCGAGCCGCTTTTTGCTCTTCGCAGAGCGAATGCGGTATCCATCGGGAAAACAACTTTTTTACACCTAGTTGTTCATGCAAGATTATTTGTATTTGGCTCATGCCAATGTCTAAAGTTGCCTGAATTTCGCGGTATATCACATGTCGATCTTCTTCAATCAGCTTACGCACAGCATCAACGTTTTCTTAGGTGACTGCAGTTTTTGGACGACCTTGACGGGGATCATCACTGAGCTTGACACGTCCACGTTGAAATTCAGGAAACCAGCGATAAATTGTGGTTTTGGATGGGGCTTCATTACCAAATGCAGAAATCATCCGGTCAACACACTGTTTTTGTGTTAAACCACTCCGAAAGTCATAATAAATCATCGCTCTTGAATTTTCTCGAGTCAATTCCATTTTCTCAACGACTAAACAAGTTTGACTAGACCTTGTGATACGACCGAGAATCTTTTTTTAAATAAATAAATGGTATACGATTTTTAAAACCCTGGAGTTTGCAATTAAATAGATTTTAATATGACTGGAACAGTGGAAATATTCCATTCCCGATACTTTTAGTGCAGCCCTCGTATGTGTTTTACTAACGGTACTTTTGGCGATCACTCACACAAATGCAATTCTCAGCTTAAGTTGATAGGACTGTAATATAAAAAGGTACAGTCAGCAAAAAAAGTTAAAGGGAAAGGAAGAGCAATTACAAAAACGTCTTTAATTCAAATACAACACCAAATCACATTATATTTTCTATAATAATAATACATTATATGTTTTATATGTTTGTATTTTCCTTATTAACTATCCTAACCGTTTGAAGCCTACTCTTATGCCCACGTATCATAATTGGAAAACTTGGAATTGAAAACGCAATAAAATGTTTGATTTATGTATTTAATAATAAATTGATCTCTTTAAGAAAATAGATATAAAGATCCCGTAATTAAATAATCGTATTCAGTGTTACTGGGCCCAAAAGGAAGTTTTTAAGTGTTATTATAAACCTTTATTTTATCTTATTCAGTAACGATAAATCTTCTAATATATTCTTTGTATTAATCTAATGATGTACCTACCAGCTCACACTGATGATACAAAATATTAAATAAAACTAAATTTAAATCAAATGAACTTCATTTAGCTGGGTTAAATGAAACTCATTTGAAAAATAATGAACTTATAATTAAAATATTTCTTGTACTTAATGATTTTGGTGGTTAAATGCGGAACGTGTGTGAAAATCTATTCATGAGACAAAACATCAATATTACAAATAATAAATGAATTGGTAATGTATAAAAAATACGAAACTAGGTATATTCATCATGATCTATGTTTCTCTGAGAACAAATGAATACAAAGTTATTACAAATCCTGCCCAACTCTTGAATCCACAAATACAAGTACTGATCATGTTATTATTTGATATGTTACCTGAATATGGTTAACGACACAGATTTTTTAATTAATTTACGATGAACAAAATTCACTGTTACAAAACTAGTTACAAAAATAAATGGTTTTGGCTTTAATGCTTTCTATCAAAATTAATCACGCTTACATTTTTTTTTATAAATGTGCCACATAAATAAGTGTGCTCTTTATCATTATGAAGTAGATATAAACGAGATAAATAATAATGTTTACCCGTATAATAAAAATTCTTTTCGCAGTTATCTATTCTGTTAATATTTACGGAAACTTAACAATGTTCTATTAGAGTAAGTAAACGGTAAAACAAAAAGAACCTAAAAAGTACGTAATAAGTTTAAACAAAATGTAGTTTTGTACTAGGTATCATTTCATAAATTATTAAAAAAGACAGCACGTATCATATTTGATACGTATTTAAAACAATGAAAAATATTTTTCTCTTAACTGTACATAATGCAAATTAATTTCAAAAATACCAGAAAACTTTGAACCTAAAACTTCGGTAGCAGAACGAATTACTCCAACCTAGAATTCGAATTCTGATACTTCACAGTTCTAAAAATAATGAAAAAATATCTGAAACTATGAAAACATAACTAAACAATGGAAAAGTTAGTAAATGATGATTAAGTACATATTCAATGCAGTAGATATCACAAATGCTTACATTATGAAGTAACTTAGGTCGCATCGAATTTCATTTAATAAATAGAAATTACAAACCAACGAATATACTATCAAAATCTGTATCAGATTTGCAATATCTAGTGCTATTTTTTAAAATCGACCAAGAAATGGAAGGCCAAACTTTTTTGAATAAATTCAATTGGGTGGGATAGCAGAAAAAATACTTATTTGTTAGACCAATCATTTCTCGGTACGCTCACCGTATCATACATGCAACATGTTTCCCTAAAAAACCAAAAGCTTGCCAAGATTTTAGTTTAGTTAGGGATGTCGGAAAAGTTTCATCTCGTCAAGTCGTATCGATAAATCCCAATCAGATCTTTCCATTCCTTCACTAACAGATATCTTTTGCCTAGACGACGTCACTATTTTTGTATGTTTTGTCTCTTTTTGCTGAATACTCAAGCATTAACAGACTATCCACTAGCTAGACAAAAGTCATCTTTGAATCGACTGGGAATAAATTCAATTTCCAACATAACGATACACAAGTAAAATTTAGGAGACGTGATCGGGGCACCATTTTGTAAAACAACTTCAAATTTTTCAAGCATTCTTTCATTCCCAGGTCTGAAATTATGAATTTCATTACCTTCAGGGAAGGCCTCATCCCTGCTGTAATAAAAAACAATACTTCCTCATTCCATATAAATTCGATGAATGCCCAATTTCTTCAGATCTGACTCGTCGTCGTCGTCGAGTCTTCTTTTCTCTACCTCTTCTCTGTTCTCTTTAACTTTATTATCTCATTAGTTATGTTTTAAAAATAACTTGCTATATTTTGTAAAGGCTCTCACTTTTTTGAAGAAACTAAGTTAACAGCTGCTACCATACAGTTCCGTTCATGTTGATGGTACTTTTACATTACTATCAAGAAAAAACAATCAATGGTCCATACGTAATAGTCTAGTAGACCATTAATATTGTATGGAAGACGAACCCTTAACTCTTGAATTTGCGGGTTACCTGTAGTAGCAGCTGACGAAGTACCTACCTTCAAGTTACAACTTAAATTATTCCAACCAAGAGCCAAATAACTAGCCCCGAACGAACAGAGCCTGTATTATGGCAACTAGACTTGAAATACCCCGCTAAATGCATTTATCATAAGTTATTAAGGAGCCAAAAATACTTATCGGCTCGGTTATTGGCCTCAATTACTTTAAAATGGTTAAAATGGTACCCCGCTCACTTTTCTAGCGTTTTCCATTGCCAGCACCAGCGATGGCTCGTCAAAATGCTGAGTGTAGTCATCACCGAACCCTTGGAAAATCTGGTTGCAATATTATTCCTTTCACCGTGTCTCTACTTTGTTTCATTCACGCCATCGCTGGTGCCGGTAAAAGGTCATAAACAAGCAACATTTTTATAGTTGACTTCGAAGAATTTTCAGCAATAGTTTGTTATTAGTCTTCAACCTCGTTCTTAAACCTTCAATATACCTAGGGGACAAAAGGGCCACAACGCTCATTAATACGTAAACGTTACAAAAAAATGACGTGCGCTCGCTCTTAGATCGGCAGCTTGCAGCAGTGAACATCTTATTATGCACCGCAAATGTACTGGGCAACATTGCAGCCTCATGAAAATCGAGCTGGTTCATTTTGTCCCCAAATGTATCCGAGTGCGATGTTACTTGGACTTAAGTCCAACTAACATTGCCTGAAATCATGCTGATCAATCCTAGTTGTTGACCGAACTGAGACAAATGTTGCTCGTTCACAAGTTCTCAATGGAAAACCGCGTTCCTCCGATCGCTTAGTTGTTAGTGTTGTCCTCATGGGCCTTCTTGACGATGGCGAGCTTGGAGTGCGGGTCCTGCGCTTGGAGCTGAGCGTAGGGCGGCGCGCGGGTGCCGTGCAGCACTAGTGACCAGCCTCGCACCCAGCCTGATGCGGAGCTGGGGCCTGAACCGCCGTTGAAACGGGCCTGGAGAAATTCGTTGATAAGTCAAAATCACTCAGAGATCAGAAGTACAAGTCTTTATCTTATTTAACATCTCTTAGTTCAGCCTTTGAACTTGGATGCATTTGGAGAGAAAATGTCATTGGACAATGAGATATGAATGCCGCATGTGAGCGACAAAAAGTGTGAGACACAAATGGCAACTTTACAAGGCTTCGTTTTCTATGTCAGTCATCTTTATGTAACTTTCCCGTAATTTATGGGGTAAGTAGGTATTAATATCTTCAGATTTCGAAATGGTAGTGCCTAAAACTAAATAAAGTGAGTCTCTTAGTTACTCATTTATTTCTTTTTGATCAATGTGGCATGGAAGACGTAATATAAACAGGCCTATCACTCGGTGCACTGTCTAATGAAGACTGGTTGTTGTGAAAATCCTTTAGGAGGTCTTTGTCCAGCATTTGACATCCTTTAGTTGAAACGAAATAATTACCTCAAGAGTCCAAACGCCCTGCGGATACTCCCCCCACGTGTGCGTGGTCATGAAAGGCCACTTGGTGAACCCGTCCCGCGAGTCGTCATCGTTGGCGCGCCTGCTCAGGATCATTGACCTGAAGACAGATAGCTGCTGTTAGCTCTGGTGTTTCACTTTACATTCTCTCACCGATTAGATTAGTTGTATCCTGATATGAAAAATAAAAAAGATTGAAAGAAAGGACAATAGTTTCATTGAGAAACACCGTCATCATAATAAGGTAATGCTGTTATGTAGCTTGTTGTCATTCAGGACAAGTCTTGTATTTCTTACGACAGAGTCTTACTGCTGGCGTATTACGGCTAGTCTGATTTAAGTTATGGGAAAACATTTCATGTTATTCGCTGGGGGCATGTCGGGGTGAACTTTGTTCTTATTTCTCCCGGAACTAGGATATAACTAAAGTTAAGTCAAGACTTTCTGAAGATTGTGTGTTTTGGTGGTCAGGCGGCAGACTACAACAGTAGTATGGAACAGAAATGAAAATGGTATGTAAGGTGATGTAGTTTCTTACTTTGTATTCATAGGGCTCGTAAGGAACAGCTCCAGGTCTCCTCGCCGTGTGGAGTTGGCACTGACCACCGCCTGCACGTGCTCCAAATACCGCACCTCGCTGGGTGATCCTGCGCAGGCCGTGGTATCGATCTTCAACGTTATGCTACCTTCGGATGGCACCTCGCTGGAAGGAAAACAATTATTTTCTTGACCTTTTCAACCACTTAACTGTTAAAATTATTAATTGGTATAGAATTCCTTCCTTCGTTTTAGAAAAAAACATCTTCCTTCAAACTTTGAGTAGGAGTAACAATAAGCTTATTTAGAACAAGATAAAGTAAGTATTAGTTCACCCAAATTTACAGGTTTAAATGGTTGAAAGAGGTTAAGGCGAGTACGTAAAAATATTTTTAGAAAGACCCATTGATCAATGAATCACTGAAATGTTTTATCTTAAGTGACATGACTCTGCCAGTCTTATACCTATACATGTTGATTGGGGCTTGCCCTAAAGACTCGTAGCACATACTCAGGACCTCCAATCATATTTCCAAAATGTATTAATAGACCAGAGAAATAAACCACTTACGTATGAGTATTAACAGAACCGGCTTCACAATGGTACCGCGGCGGCACGGACCGCCAGTTGGCCGCGAGAGCTGTCATGGCGCCCGCATCTAGCACTCCGAAGCCGAAGAGGTGGTTGAACTCCAGCCCCACTCCGTTCATCGTCCATTGGAAACGACCCTACAATTACACCTTACATATCACATTTTTCTTCAAAATCTGAAGATTTATAAGATAAATATCGCCTGTCTTAGTCGCAGTAGTGGGCCATTCATTGCTACAATGCTTTGTGATCTGATCATACAATACTATATTTATTTAATTTTAAATTACCTACATAATATTCTGTATGTATCAAAAATGATACTCCATGCATCGAAGGGTTAATGTGAAGTGATGTTTAAAATGCATACCTTAGCATCATACAGCGAGTTCCTCTTCGATGTTAAAACGGTCAGATGTTGAATGTCTCGCCATGTTAAGCTCGGGCTGTGGAAAATAAAAATAAAACCTTTAATTGAGAGAGCCGATAGAGTCACCGAGTTCGGAAATTTCATAATAGTTTACTCTAAGCAAGCATACTTTAAATAATAAAAATTCGTCATTTCAGCCAAAAGACGTCCATCTACAATTCCACATTCAAAGGCTAGGATTTCAACAAGGACCGGTCTTGCGCTTCTTGCATCCAGGCCCTTCCTGCCTTTTCCTTCCACATTCACCAGTTGTCGGTCCACTACTAGACAGCAAGTACCTAATCACTTACCATCAGGTGATCAGTCTGCTCGTTTGCCTCCTGTCCCATAAAAAAGTATGATGATCAAGATCATGGTGGATGGGCATCATGAACTTACTTGGCATGTAGCGCCAGTGCAAACACTCCAGCCGCTTCAGGGGCAGCAGCTGACGTGCCAGAGTGAGTCGGAGTGCATTTGCCGTGCCGATCAATGATAGCTCATACTGAGACGCCGATTGTTCTATAACATGGTTTGTGACATGATAACATCAGTAACTTACTTAGCATGTAGTGCCAAGGCAAACACTCGGCTGACGTGATAGAGTGAGTCGCAGTGCATTTGCCATACAGGTCGGTCGCCGTTGCTGAACGTGCTAGCCAGAGTCGAGGAGCAGAACTCGTTGTGTTCAGTTTGAAGACCAAGGAGAAGCTAAAGCGTAAGAAAATGATGTCAAGAACTTACTTGGCATGTAGCGCCAGGGCAAACACTCCAGCTGCTTCAGGGGCAGCAGCTGACGTGCCAGAGTGAGTCGCAGTGCATTTTCCGTAGAGGTCAGTGGTAGCTACTCCCGTGCTGGGGTCTCGGGCGCCGTTGCTGAACGTGCTAGCCAAGGTTGAGGAGCAGGATTCGTCGTAATGCGCGTTTTGGCCGTCGTTGATCGCACTGAAAAGGGAAAGAATAACTTATTAATTATTATAGTTTTTCTCTACCTTAGAGTTATCAACCTAACGAATTCACAAAGATGAATGAATTCATTAGGTAGATAAGGATGTGTTATTGGGTTAAAACGAACGGAATTCATGGAAACGATCACCAATCTACAGGTGGCCAATGACTTCGAAAGGCACGCTCAGCAGTTATTCATAATCACTCCTTTTTTATTAACTATGATAGATACTATAATAGAGCAGCTTTGGCAGCATCTTCTCATATTAGGAGTGCTATATCTTACTCCCATTGTACATTTTATGAGCCAGAAAACATACCTACCAATCAATCAAGAACAGGAGCTCTCCAATCATGACTCGAGTTCCAGACTTTCTCAACGCTCTGTCTTTGCAAAGTTGGACGGGCCGACTCATGATCCGGGGAACGCGGGTTCGAATCCTGCCGCCGCTCGACTATTGTGGTGATCCCACTCTTAACACAAGCATATTCAGCTTAGTACGAGGGGCTAACAGGACTAAAAAAGTGTTTACTGACCTGTTGATAGAGACAGTCCACATGGAGGCCGCGTATCCATCGCAGTTGCAGTCGTCGTCTTCCCCCCCATCGCCGCTCGCCCACACGTAAATATTGCCTAGGCCGTTGCGACCCTGCAGAAATGAAGATAATAAGAAAAAAATACGTAGCCCAAGGCTTCTTTTACACGCTAAGAAACACCGTGTCTGCGGCAGATAAGACAAGAATTTCGTCGGACCTAACTCCAAAAATTTGTCACACAGTGCGCGTCCGCCGCGTGTCGTACGTATTTAGCGCAGACAAGAATAATTATTTCTTGGCCAGCGCCAGAGCAATGTACACGGTTCGTGTGTAGAAACGACACGAATTCTTGTCGTAGGCGACTTTTCTTAGCATGTACCTACAAGCGGCCTAAGGGTTGGTATTGCTGACTCATCTAGAATCTAACGTATTACACAGGTAAATAACTAGCCGGATGCCTTCTGTGTTCTTTTCGTTAAAGCTGCTAAGAATCTTACGTGGGAGGTAGAGTCTTTTAAATTGAAATGGGTAAGTGTTATGAATAAAAAGCTGAAATTATCCTGTTTAGTTCTAAAAAATAGATCACGTGCTCTCAACCGGCAACGCACACACGAGCTAATGAATTGGAAAATCACGAAGAAGTAGAAGTGAGAATCATACATCAAATTATTGTAGACTATCTTTTTTCTTTCACAAACGTTTGCTGGCTGTACCCTATAAACTGTAAGACTTTCAGTCTAAAAATAATTAATCAAAATGTTTTCCCCCAAACACCGTGGATAATATTGAAAAACAAAATTTTATTTTCCGACTTGTAAGGTACTTTATTTTCGGAACCATAATCTACCATGATAAATTGATCAAGCTGCTTTTTGAAGATGGAATTACTCGCGCCTTTATACACCTGCGTTCGAGTATCAAAAATTATTTATTTTTGTATCTGGGGTGCCCAGCTTATGCTGAGTGTTCATTGGCTGATGAAATATAGGCGACAACTACCTTGAACAAGTGTAACGAGTGGGATAAGATGAATACAATAGGTGCCCATATTTATACAGATTTATTATGAAGTACATAAACTTAATTGTGTATTTTACTCAACTTCAATTCAACTGTTTTTGATGGAAAACACTAAGGCTAAGTTGCACCACCTAACTTTAGCTTTAACAAACGTCAAAAATCTGTCAAACTCCATACATAAAGCACCGGTTATTGTTATAGTTAAAGTAAGTTGGTGCGACTCCGCCTTAAAGTGTCACGTGCGGTTGCATAACCAACATAATAAAAGCTCTCGTATATCGACAAAAATATTCTCTGGGGGAGATATTACGCTTCAAATACAAGTTTTATATCAATTCCCGGGCCAACTCTGGCTGTCTCCTGCAGTGATACTCGTACAAACAACAACCTCATAATTTTGTATTTAGACAGATGTCTCACGTGTGGAAATGAACCTCCAGACAATGGTTCTACTTCTGTGACATCGCTTACAACGTTGTTACAGACATAATTACATTTTGAACGAGATTGCTATTTATTTTGAACAAAACTTAAGTCTGATGATTCGTTGATACTGATTTGTTGATAAGTGCCATATCTCGATAATCGGAAAAACCTGGCGGTTTTCCTAACGTCCTGACTTTCCTGACAAGATTGGACACATTAACCTTGGAAAGTTAAATTGCAGGAGATTCGCAGCATTACGCTAACGTAACAGCCTAAGCTGTTGCAAAGTTTGTTTATGGAGTTATGATGATACAGACTTATTGAAAATAAATAAAACTGGATTTCTTTTAGTTAGTCATGGTAATGATTTAATACTCTTTAAAATAACTTGCATTTCACAACGTAGCGTTGCATTAAACTAGGTTGTATGCGGTTTCACAATTTCTCTTAGCATGCGGATATGTATCCACTAGTTGGCTTGGCAGTAATCAGGCCACGACCTTATTTCTAAATGAAGTAGGTCGACAATTAAGTTAACAGCATGGACTGACGTACACCTACTCATCTTCTGACATCCTTGCGGAATATTCCTCGGTCTTAGAGGTGTTTGTGATACTGGAGTCTAATCCATAGAATTAGAAAAAGTGGTATAAAGAATATTTTATCAATTAATGTCGTCATCATCATTATCAAACTGCTGGAATTCACTGAAAAAGTAGATTCGGTCCCTCTTCGCTCTACAAGAGGGTAGAGCGATGTTACTCAAAAAGTGATTTCGCTGACTTGAAACTATCGCCCAAAAATGACGAACCTGGTTGTTAAAACAATCCTGGACCTCAAAAAAAGTAAGGAACTGCTCTTTGTTTATACACCAGATGGTTCTGATGCATGGACTATTTGATAAAAGATGCAGAGAACTGAAGTCACTGGAGGAAGTCTATTTTAATCAGCTAAGTAACAGAAAATTAAGGAGTTTCTTCAGCCACTTCTTCTCTGTACCAGCCCATATTTTCAGAAGAAGTGGTAGGGCATTCTATTTTAAGCAAGACCCTGAAAAGAGCCTACATACTAATAAACAATTTTAATGGTATTTGTGATGAAGATGATTATACGATTCCAAACCTACAATCTTTAAATAGTCCCATCCCTTAGCGTGTTAATTTCACTAAAACCTAGCGACTAAACATGAGAGTTTCCACTTACATTAGCATCCATTTAATATACTCGCAGTTAGCAAATACAGTATATTTCAGCTAAATTGGGTACCTACTCGGGAACGAATAATATCTCATTCAAAAACAGACACGGAGCCTTTGTTTAGAGAGCAAGCTTAGTGGTCTTTAACATCACAGAATGTTAAATTAAAATAATTTCGTAAATTGAAACACTTCAAATGTAAAGCAAATATCTTGATGATAAGCTGTGGTTTTACGACTAGTGTCTGTTTTAATACTGATAAAAAAATATAATTTGAAACAGATTCTTCAAGCTTACTGTTCGCACTAGGTAACGATTACTATTTTATAGTATAACCGGTGTTTTTTGTACAGAGTTTGACAGATCTTTGACGTTTGTTAAAGTTAAAGTAACGTGGTGCAACCCAGCCATCATTCCATTACTGTAGGATAATGAAGATAATAATAACTATTTTATGAAAATGTTTCAGGTATCTAATAACAAGAATCCTCCAATATAAAGGCACAAAACACCGTAAGTAAATATAAATATTATTCGACCTTATTTTGCACAAGTTTATTGTTGCGGACAAACAAGATATGAGACGGTTTATTATCATTAATAACAATTCGTGAAGTATTTCACGGTAAACAATATTAATTGTTCTTACTTTCAATCAAAAGGTATGTTTTTGTTAGAAGCAAAGACTTTTAGTTATCTAAGTTATTGAAATTGCGTCACAGTGCGGGTTTTTTAATTATTTATTTGTTTATTTTGGAAAACTAGGGTTTTAAAATATGTAGGTAATAATAAGAAATTAATACAAAGAAATAAGCCATAGTTCCTGGTCTCTTAATTAAATAATATTGTCATACGAAGAGCGCTTTCTTTTTAGTTTTCTTAGCTCCTAACTTACTTAGCCCCACTCGTGGCAACAGTGCTAAGTAGAGAGGACAAGTACCCATTCACTCCCCTCCCCCCCCCCCCATTTCCGTAACAACCCCTTCCGGAAATAGCGGAGTGGACGCTTTTACTGTAAGTAAGCTGTTTGTGCCATTTGTTATTCTTACACTTATAGGCTAGGGAATTTTATACTTCAATATTTCCGTGACTTTTTTCAATGTCCGAGTAAGGCCCGGTTTTTTGATTCGTAGTTAAATTAACCAATGGTCAAATTTGACAGATGTCAAATGACAAGTGGTTAAATATCAGAAAAAAATGTTTTTCGAACAATGGTTAGCTTGACTTTTAGTACATTTTTTAACTATTTGTTTACATTTTGTTAATATTTAACCATTAGTAGCAAAATTTAACTACGAATCAAAAAACTGGGCCTAAGTAGTCTTTCTATTTTAGTTGAAATGGAACGCAAAAAATTAAAATCTTAGGTATATGTACGAGTATAGGTTCTGGAGAACCTATATTCTACAGAATCCTGGAGTATTACATAAAGAAAAGGATTCAAATAGCATCACTAGCTTACCTATAGGTACATATAAATAGGTAGGTAAGTTGTAGAATAGTGCTGGTAACAGCACTATAATTCTATTATTCAATGAGTAGGGAGTATTCTACAAAAATGAATGTAATGTAATCACAGTGAAATGTTGTAAATAAATAAACAAATAACTCCAGAGTTGTACAATGAGTTTACTTGATATTTCGTTAATGGTCTCATTAAAAAATGTATTTGATAAATATTTCCCATACCCACAGAAATCAGATTTGCTCCTGTGGTTGTTATTGAAACCCCTTTAAGTTTCTTTTCATCGAAGAGATAAAATACTTTCGCGGAAAATTGCTGGAAGAATAAAAGTCGTCATCGGTTTTTCTTTTTTCTTGCATAAAAAAGAGAAAGTAGATAGACAATTTCCCAACACCATTTCACGTCGCTTTCCATTTTTTCCGGAGCGATCGTTGTCGTTCGCCAACAGAGCTTTTAGGTTCAGGAAATAAGCTCTCGTTCTAAGCTTCTAATCTCGCGCCATTTCAGTTTAAAAGCTCGTTGAAAACTAAGGAAAACAAAGATTGCACGAGAATGTCCTTGTGTAGGTGTACTCTTTTGTGATGTAGTTTAATAAAAATTAAAGGTAATCCAACTTATTTTTATTTTACAACATGATTTTTACTAATTGATTGCCTCAGGTAGAGACAGCCACATTCCCAAATCTTTGTGATTTGGTACAATAATTTGACTATAATTTCAAAAAGATAACCTTCTTACATTGTATGTATCCATCTCAATTAGATAAATTAATGCACTGCCATTTTACCATAAATAAAAGTACGGTAAAATATTATTTAAGGACCCAATCTGTATAATGTAACCGCCAGCGTAAGTACCAGAAGATCCATTTTAAACCGTGGTGCGTGGTGTCATAGCGGTCAAATATCTGCCTTTTGCAGTACAAAAACTATATTCTTTTCCTTAAACAACAAAAGCATATTAACCTTTACGTCACCCAATAAAACCTTCATCCCATCAGCCGTATCACATTATCCTCGTTAATGTAAAGCACCCGCACCTGCACGGGTGGTAATTGCACACCCATCAATCTCAATGAATTCGCCTTTGAGGGGCGTGGACACTGGTAAGCCAGGGTAAACCACCTAAACCACCCTCCCAATTGTTTTGTTCTTTAGATTTGCGGGATCTTTGAAGGTCTCATAGTCATTGTTATTGAAACGAAGCGAAGCTGTTTGTTGCGTAAGGATTCAAAGTATCAACGCAAATGTATTGCTCAGTTAGTGTGGTTTGGCTCCTCTAATAGAGCTGTTTTAAAATTGCACTTGTACATACAATAGGCGTCCCTTATTGCATTTATTTATATTCGATGATACTCTGGGTCCGTTTTCACAATGATGTGGTAATAATTTCAGATATTAAAATAACATAACGTATTTTAGGTCATAAGAAGCTATTATTTTAAGAATAAGCCACACGAATTAATTTTTCGAGACTTCAGATACGAGACAACGCACCAAAAGATCAAGATTTGTCTAATTTATGCTCAAAAGGATAAAGACTAAAGTATTGCAAAAGCAAAACACTAATAAGAAAGATAAATCTTTTGAAAAGAAATCCTGTAAGCTATAAAAATTCTCGACTTCAACTAAAGAGACGGATAAACAGCTTCCAGCTGTTTAGATAAGTTCCAAGTCACTAAAAGGATCTCACGGAGCCAGTAAGTTTACGCAAGTGATACGCTCTCCGAGAGAATGTATTTTTAGATCAGAGGTACTTTACCTTTTATAAAGAACCTAAAACGTTTTAATTCTGTAGTAAAGCTACATTTATTTACTGAGGTGTGAGAGAATATTTTATAAATAACTATGAATACCAGATAAAAGCTCTCGTCTTAAAAGGCTTTGCGGGTCGGTGGTTTGTATCATTATTTTAGATAGTTTAGGTACTTATGTTGAATAAGTGTTGAATTAGGTAACCTCCCGATACCTTTCACAAACATTACTATGAGGTCTCACAGTGCGCATGGACACAGGGTGACACATGAACCAATCATAGCGCTCTATTCAACGCTATAGGTTCGATTTGATGCTTCATTTAAATCAAGCATCGTATACGGGCGTAACATTGTAACATTTAGGAATAGAAAATCCAAATAAATCTTTAAGAAGTCATATAATAATATGTCGGTCTTTTGTAAGATAATTTCGGCAATTTCATTTCGAATTCCTAACATTTTAAAACATATTTCTATAAATTTATGTAGCCTGTATTTCGGTTGCTATTATAATATTGGTTTTGTGTCACGTAGCACTTAGAGGTTACGTGGGTCTGACTAAGCAAACAAGGTGACTTAGCCGGTGGCACGTTTTGAACGGATTAAATAAACTTTTGGTAAAGAAAACACGTTATTTTGAGCCAGGTTCTAGTCGTTACTTCTTCGTTATGCCATATTAAATTCTATGTTAGTAAAGTCTAGATTCTAAAACTTCTAAAAACTTTCATGGATAGAATAAAAATATGACGCAAGAGCCTATAAATGCTTAATTAAGTAATGATAATTTGACATTATTTAAGTTATTTAATGAATTGGGCACTTAATTAATTTCATTTATTATCTAAAACATTTAATTTTAGTGCTGAATAACTTTTTTAGTGTGAAAAATATAATTGCGTGTTCATTAGTAAAACCATTTTACAGCGACAGAAAATGGACGTAATAGCTAACTAAGCCATTGAGCAATATTTCGTTTAATTATTTTTCTCCGCTTAATTTTTAATCTAAACGAAAGCCTTTACAAATGGCTTCCCAAAAAATATTTATCCGAAAATACTTAGAAGCCGACAGATGTAACGTTCGCGGACGTTTCCATTAAGGCAGGTGTCAGAAAAAATACTCAGGTCCGAATGAGGGGGAATTCGATTTCTGAAGGGAAACCACCTTTTGCACCTGCCCCCCCTTCCGATCGGTGGGTGCAAAAGGTATTTTCATTACATCGAGGAATAGGTCGGTGTTTTAATGGCTTTAATACGGCTGAAATACAGCTTTTGGTGTTCGTTTGGAAATTGTGTATTCATTCAGGTATTGTTGGAGCAACGTTGAGACGAAAATATCAATATCTGATTACGTGATGAATAAGAGTGTAAATTAGATAAGTTCCTAATCAGGTTTTTAGAGTAAGATCCGGTTTCTATCTAAAAATCTTAATTAAAAAACCGGTGGTAAGTATACCTATCACCGCGAATGGATACCTAGTTCATAATAAACATATTATAATAACAGATTATGGAATGGATAGTACGTACCTCATTAACCCCTCTGACAATGGCCCTCATGGTAGCGTTCCGGGGCCCGTCGACCGTCCGCCCGTCGTCTGTGGGGCCCCACGACGCGCTGTAGATGTGGATCTTATGAGGCTCGTGCCCCATGGAGTTCGCTTCGATGAGATCCGTCATGTAAGGCTGGTCTAACATTCGGATACCTGTTGGAAAATAAACAAATTGAAGTTAACCAATAATAAGTAAAACCGTTTGCACCACCCTTAAAATTTAAATTCTTTATTAATACATTTTGCAGGGAACCTACACACGTCCCAAATATAACTTGCGAACCACTTTAACCACTTCAAAACATAAATGGCGGGAGACGGCATCGGATTTAGGGCTACCAGATATTCGAGATTTGGCGGGATTTTCCCGAATTTTTGTAAGTCCCGCGACTTCCGACAAAGTAAATGAATTCTGTAGAATCTGTAGAAAGTACCTATACATTAAGGTATAAAGTTATTTATTAAATTAAAACAACTGTAAAAGAAAGTTTTTTGCCCGTATCCTATTTATAAAAAGAATTTCCTAAAATCATAACAATATTAGGCCTCGTGTATAGAAGTTTGTTTACGCAAAGCAGAAATACCAGCTGTATACATAAGGAAAAAATACTACGTACAGTAAATAAACAAAATATTATCCGTAAGCTCATATTTTTCTCGGGTGAAAGAAATTAAATTGGCTCGACGAGATTTGACACCTACGTATTAAATGATGAAGGACAGATGATTTTACGCAATAACGTAAGTAGATTAAGATATAATAAGGACAGGTTTTTCAATTTACGGAAAAGAAATTTCCAAGCTGTTCCTTTATTTATTAACTAGCTACTGACCGCGGTTAATACAACTAATTCAGAAAATCAAGCTACGACTAGAAGAAATGTCGCTAAAAGCATGCGTATTTTATTTGCCAAAGTGTCAAAATAATGTAACATACAACAATCTACGTTTTACGTATTAACGTTATACGTTTAAGCCATGATTTGTAATTAGGGTTTCTGCTCGAGCTTTCTCGAACTCGAGAAAACTCGAGAAATTTGGCTTCATTCGAGACGAGAAAAAAATTACCAGAGCTCGAGAATTCTCGAGTCTCGAATTTGAAGCTTTTAATAATCTTGAAAGCCTATTTTCTTAGACAAAAGTAAGTTTTTAATTATTTAAAAGGTTAACGTTGCTTTTAGACTGGTCTAGTCTTTCCTTTTTTACCCGACTGCGTGACGCAAAGGAGTGGTAATGTGTCTAACAGCCTATGTGTGTATGTATGTTTTTGAAGCACTATAGAGACCAAACTCTTGGGCCGATTTTTATGATTCGCACGTCAATCGATTTCTTTTAGTCCGGTGACGCCATATTGTGAAACTCAACAAACTATGGCATGTGAGGTATCATTAGATTTGTTTTAACTGTGAGAGTGACATTGGTATATCAAAATTGGAAAATATAAAAATGGCCGATTTTTGGCGCCATAATATGTATTAAATATAACTCAAAACCTATCGAGTGGGGTATCAATAAAGGGTTTTTAAATAGCTTGCAAAATGTATGCCCTTTAACTAATAGATTAAAATAAAAATATTATTGAAAACAAAAAACCCAACTGGGTAAAAATAAACTGAAAAGATAGAAATAAGACAAAGTGTTCACAAATGCAGTTGGAGACATCAAACACTTATCATCATCATCATCAACAGCCCTTTACAGTCCACTTATGGACTATGAACCTCCTTCGGCGGGAAGAGTAGGGGTTGGTGACAAATGTATTCTAATGTATTCTACACGGCTTATCAGCAACCACTTATCACCAACAAAAAAAATAGTCATTGATGTCTCCGACTGCATTTGTGAACACTTTGTCTTGTTCCTATCTTTTCAGTTCATTTTTACGTAGTTGGGTTTTAGTTTTTTTGTATATTAGATTTAAAAAAACCTGTGTTTTTATCAAATTTCAACCGATGTCAACAATTATAATTAAAAGACTCGAGACCCGAGAAAACTCGAGACTTTGGCCTCGAGAATTCCCGAAACTCGAGAAAAAAAATAGGTCGAGAATTCAGAAACCCTATTTGTAATCCGTTGCTGTATGTACAGTCAATAGCACATCACATACATTTTTGTTGCAAAATCGCATCTATTACGACTAAATAAAACGCCACAGTGTTTACGTTGACAAATCTAAATTAATTGAACTTTTTTTATGGACCCTATTAATTAAACTTATAATGTATTTATGTTTATTACTTTAAACATTTCCGTGGTAATATTCTGTAATACAATAAGCGACTAAAAGCCGATGCTGAAACTGGTTACAGCGGAAAGTCAATAAGCTCATAAGCCACGTTCAAATTAATTTATCCGTGTTGAGGAAATTCATATTTTATGACGTCAGAGAGAATTAATATTATATGTATTAGTAGGTTTTCTTTACTGCAACTTCGAATACCACGTTATTATTGAGATCATCGTGTTCTTTGAAAGATCCAGACTTTCTACTTTTAACTTAGTGTTCGCATACGAGTCAGGTTTCAGTTTCGTTTGGCCAGAAAAGCTCAACTTAAGCTCTGCAACTTACAACTACAAAAAACTTACAAATCTCTACTGAACCACACATTTACTTTGTAAAAAGGGATTAATTATAAAATACAAAACCTACCAGCAGTTGTATACACAGTACACGCGCTCTCATTTACCTGTTTTACATTAGATACCTACTCGTATATACAGGGTGTCTCGTAATGTAACGTCAAGCCGGAACTGGGTGTTGAGGCAAGTTATGCTGGTTATCAGAAAAATATAAAAAAAAATCTATGTGGCATATTTTCAAAATAATAGGCATTTAAAAAAAATAAAAAAATTCTACTCCCGGTGACGGTCTTTTTACTCGTGTTGCCACAAATCTTCACTTTTTCCAAATTTTTTTTTTGTTATGTAACCCTGAATAATGCTTCTCTAAATTGTTATCAAAATTACAAAACCAGCTGCTCCAACTTGGATGAAAAAAATACATTACTCCCAAAAAAATTTTCAAAATAAAAATTTTGCCTAGTTTAAACTGACTGTACTGAAAAAAAAATGTACTACGCGAGTGTGGCAAGTGACGTCACAATTTGGCGTATTTAGTAAGGATTCCAAAATGGTATAACACTTGGTAAATTTTTGCTGTAATTGTCGACAATTTTTGTTTTTTTGGAAATAGTCCCGTTTTTTACTTTATCTACCTTGGTTAAAAAATATTATTCGAATGTGCCCAAAATTCAAGTTTCTGNTATTTTTTTATTTCGGATATCCGATAGTTTCGGTTACGGTTACGGATATCCATAACATCCCTGCTTGGTAAGATGGCCCTCTCCGTCCCGCTCATACCTATTAAAATGGCTTCTCCACCTCACTTAAGCCAGAAACTTGAATTTTGGGCACATTAGAATAATATTTTTTAACCAAGGTAGATAAAGTAAAAAACGGGACTATTTCCAAAAAAACAAAAATTGTCGACAATTACAGCAAAAATTTACCAAGTGTTATACCATTTTGGAATCCTTACTAAATACGCCAAATTATGACGTCACTTGCCACACTCGCGTAGTACATTTTTTTTTCAGTACAGTCAGTTTAAACTAGGCAAAATTTTTATTTTGAAAAATTTTTTGGGAGTAATGTATTTTTTTCATCCAAGTTGGAGCAGCTGGTTTTGTAATTTTGATAACAATTTAGAGAAGCATTATTCAGGGTTACATAACAAAAAAAAAATTTGGAAAAAGTGAAGATTTGTGGCAACACGAGTAAAAAGACCGTCACCGGGAGTAGAATTTTTTTATTTTTTTTAAATGCCTATTATTTTGAAAATATGCCACATAGATTTTTTTTTATATTTTTCTGATAACCAGCATAACTTGCCTCAACACCCAGTTCCGGCTTGACGTTACATTACGGGACACCCTGTATATTTTCGAATGATAACTTTATAAACCTAATCCGTCTATGTCCAAAAGCTACATTGTATAATATTAATTTGGTGTCCAAACAGCTATTTCAGAGGCTTGCGGTAAAGCTTTTATTAATATCGTATTAAGGCTCTGAATGATTACGTCATGAATTCAGAAAGAGATTTAGGTAAGTCACAAGCAGACTCTTTGACATCGAATAACGATATTGCGAAAATAATCGATGCTGCAACTTCTATTTGGCGATTCTCTATATTCGAATTTGGTATCGAACTTTTTGTTATTTTGATAATTTATATCGATTTGATCGACGAACGATTGAAGTTTCTATGTGGATAAGGGTAATAGCTATCGAATTAAGATAACAAATACCAAATCTCCATTCTATAATTAGCCTGTCTACTATCATCTTAGTACTTGTTAGTTGCGTGGGCAGCAATAGGAAAACGTAATAAACATTTTGATATTTTGTAGTTACACTGCAATCTGCTACATAAATACTCGAAAGTTTACCTGTCAAAGATTATTTGTAGGCTGTTTACAAATATTTTAGGCTGTATATAGTAATATTGGATGTATCCAAACGTAATTAGGTCGTCTGGGACGTTATTTATTCTACTAAGTTAACTTTAGCATACTAATTTGTATACATTATTTTGTTTATTTTAGCATCGTTTGAAGTTCCAAATGATAACACAAATATGTATGTAATACTGGTAATACTAAAATTATTCCGTCGATATATTCAGTTCCAATCTAAGCATCTATTTGAAATCAAAGTACTAAAATTTGAAAAACTGTTGTATCATACTTTATCAAAAGGTTTTTATCTTTATTTATTTATTGATGCAAAACACTTGTATGCTTACAGAGCTTATCATTATTTATCATTTTGTTTGAGATAAAGTAAATAAAAATAAAGAAGGGATGCTTTATTTACACGGTCCAACAATTTCATGCTTCTTAAACAACGGACAATAACCATTACGAAGGTGCTTCGATAAAAGGGTCTATACATATGTATACTTTGTAACATAAACCTACTTGCTATGCTTGAATGAATCTCGTTGTATCTCATCTTAGGGATGTTATACCTATAATAAACTTTATTATTAAAATACTACCTGTGCCCGCGACTTCGTACGCGTGAAAATAGTTTGAATAATATTCCGTTTTTGCAACATTTTTCTTTACTGATATTGGCTGTAGGGTTATAAAGCCTAGCCTTTCTCGACAAATGGGAAATCCAACACAAAATATTTTTTCAAACCGGACCAGTACCTACACCTAGTTCCTGAGATTGGCGCGTTTAATCAATGAAATAATCAAACTCTTCAGCTTTATAATATTAGTAATAAGTAGATTATAAGATAAACTTTCTTATTAAAAATTGTGCTAGGCATCCAAATTCCAGCCAACTACCTACATAAAACCCTTAATAATGATGCCGAATATAGAAGAAGAAATAAGTTTGGGACTACCAAGAAAGACTTAGTTCGAAACTTGTGGGAAATAAAGCATCCTTTTATTGTCCCAGACCTAGCCCCAACTTTATAGTAATGAGAATAGTTTGCGCCTACACCTTTTATTATAAAAGTAGTTAGACCTTTTTTAACACAGCATAAATACGCGTTATCTGTGGTCGCGATCGTCATCAGTGAGGGACCGAGGAAGAAGAAGAAATACGCGTTATTACAGTTTTTACGCGGAAAGAAAGAAAAACCAGACATCTATTTTCTGTTAAATTAAAATACCCTAACTAGGTATTACCAGTTTTTGTCATCTAAAAATCGCTAACATTCAACATTTTTAGATATTAGCATTAGGTCATTTAAGTACTTTAGTTATTTCTTCAAGACGATTTTGCCTTTGGGTCAAGTTGTGTGAAAAGTCTACTTTCCACGCTGGCCAGACTGGTTGGGGAGACCTCATGATCCCATATTTGTCCCTTTACCATCTAAGATGCCCACAGCAAGACTGGGAGCGGTCATATACTCTGCGGTCATGTAGATCGTTTCATCCATGAAAACGCGCCCCACCATTTTTCCGCGACTGTTTGAGTGTTATCGGTACACGCTAATTATCCATGAGTGCACCACACGCACATTTTAAAATAATGACGCTCCGATTGCTCGAATCAAACTCCCCGCACCCCGCGCTTCCCTCGACCAAAAATTGGTGGGGCGCGTCTTTGTGGATGAAAATGAAATGATCCATATGCGCGCGAAAATGTAGGTATTGTAGCCGATTTTATATCAGTATTTGCATGCTAATTCGTGGAAAGCTTTGATCATACTCATACATCACGATTAATGGACACAATAATCCAAAACTGGGCATATCCGATAATGTTGTCGCACATTAACGTCCGTGTAAATCAATCAAAGGGACAAAGTGTGGGTACACGGCTTGTGTTTTAGCTATCAGCAATATCTGATAAGAGGAAATACGTGTATACACGTAGCCTACTGTGTGGGCTTGACCACTCATGTTAGCAGCCAGACACCAATAAAAATATTCTGTCTATCTATTTATCAGCTATGTTGCGTAGTTCATGCATTGAGTTACCTTTGCTTATTTCAATGCAATGGTAATATTTTTCAAACTACCAAAATGTGCAGTTTAAAATAGACCAACAGAGTTACTTCATCACCATCATTTCATCCACAGAACGTCCACTGCTGAACATAGGCCTCCCCCAATGATTTTCACATCGCCCATTGGTAGCTACCCAGTTAAGTATTTCACTTATTTTATTTAACTTAGATTAAACTTAAGGTTATAACTGCATATTTAGTATATCAATTGCATCTAACTAAATTCTAGTTCTGAACTAAGTAACTCTAACCACTTTAAGCAATTGAAGTAATACTTTAAGTGGAATACTTAAATGAAGTCACTCCAATTTGCAGATGGAAGGCATCGCTAAAATTGAAACGAAGTTATTGAAATTGAATTCCAACTAGTATAACAATTTAGGTACAAAGTGAAAGCAAGTCAATAGAAGCCTGACTATACTAAAATTTGAATTAAAATAATTAAAAACGACAAATTAATATAGATTTGTGCTTCATTCGTCTATAGAGACAGTACCAATTCATTAATAACATTGCGATATTCCTCTGACTGTGTTAGAGACAATTATCTGGCCTCTCATTTGTTAGTCCACTATCTGTTACCATGTTAAGAAATATATTGTTGCTAATGATGCCTATATTGGAATAAATGACAAATAAATGTCGTGATAAAGTTCGAACTCTTTCTTCGTTAGGTGAGATATTTAACTTTTTGAAATTGCACGAGTATAAAAAGGTTTTGAATTTGGTTTTGCTAGTTAATTTAAAGGGGTTTAATTCTTCTCCTAGATATTTACGAGAAATTACTGAATTAATCTCAAACTGTAGAAAGCTTATTTTAAAAGCTCGTAGCTACTCGTAGGTACAAGCTAAGTAACATGCTAAATTTTTATCCCATACTATTTATAGGTACCCTAATAATATTTTCCAGATATTTTTTTCCTTACACAAAGATGAAAGGTAGCCTTTGCAGAATACAGGCGGATGTCAGTCGCCATTTTGTTTGTTCACTGGCTTGGACTTTCACGATAGTGATTACAAAGGTAAATGCGGACTTTGGGTACAGACGACAGCACATCAAGGTAAATATTGTAGCGTCTTAGGTAGTTGGGATAGGTACTATATTGCAACAAAATAATATTTTGTGTGTGCGGTTGACTGTACAATATTGGTTCTTTTCAGTCCGTTCGGCTCGGAATAAGTTGCAAGAATTCAAATTTATATTGAGTGCTTTTATAATTTCTTAAAAGCCAAATTTCAAATCCAATTTAGATACCTACTGTAATAGTACTAGCTCAGTCCGTAACTGAGATTGATTGCATTTGCGTAAAATACCTAAACCTTTTTAATCATTTATTATTCAGTTTAAAAAAAGTTTTTGCTTTACGTCTTCTACGGTTTGCTTGACGAAAACAAATGACAAACGAGCATTATCAACGGAGGTCAGAAGCAAAGTTAATTAAAAGACAACATTAGAGGGATCCCATCGGGATGGAAATTTAAAAATGGAATATGACGTGACGTCAGCGGGCGGGTAAAAGAGCCAATCATCCGCACCAGTGGAGCGAGAGAAATGACCGCAAGTTTGCAGACGTACCTAGTGCAGAGAAATACAGGTATAGAAAGAAATTCTATAATTCGTTTCGATAAATCGATTCTAGGTACCTCGTCTTATTCCCTGATGACAATTAGATCAGACAAGAATACCTACTACCTACATTAGTAGCCCAACGGATTAGCAAGCTGAAGTGGCAATGGGCAGGGCAGATAGTAAGCAGAACTGACGGCTGATGGGGCAGCAAGGTTCTGGAGTGGAGGCCGCGTACCGGAAAATGTAGCGTGAGACGTCCACCCACAAGGTGGACCGACGACATCATAAAGGTAGCAGGAAGACGCTGGACGCAGGCCGCTACCTATCGATCAACATGGAAAGCTTTGGGGTAGGCCTATGTTCAGCAGTGGACGTCCTATGGCTGAAATGATGATGATGAATATAAATAGACAAAGAATACATCATATAAACTCACCAGCAACTTTGGAGTGGTAGGCGACTCCGACACCACACACGCCGTTGTCCCGCGCGGCCGCCACCTCGCCCGCGCACCTCGTTCCATGACTAAACAAGAGCAAACAAATCTATTATTTATACTCACGTACAATATTTAAAAAGGATTTATTACGCATCTATATTTTAACCTTAATGACTACCACCCACGCCACGGGCTCAACCACGCACCGTAAAATGTTTCATGAATAAAATAATGATAACATTTTAGAGTTCATCATCAACAGCCCTTTACAGTCCACTGCTGGACTATGAGCCTCCTCCACTATAGTGGAGAGTTTTGCCATAATCTCCACGCTTGGCAGGCGGGTTGGAGATCACAGTTTAAAAGATTGATGTTTTTCAGAGAGCGCTGCTGCCCATTCTCTGTTTGATGTGTAGTCCCTAAGTCGCCTCTTACGACACCCGCGGGAAGAGTAGGGGTTGGTGACAAATGTATTCTACTCTGCCGTCACCACACGGCTTTAGAGTTACCAGCTACGAAAATTAAAATAAATCAATAAGTAAACGTTATAAATGTGTATTCCGATATTATAAATTAGCCCAACCTACTTTGTAACGCCCGTATTCACAAACGATGCTTGCATAAGCGAACCTGCAAATCGAACGCACATCGTTGATTGGTTTATGTTTCACGCTGTGCGTCCAGGCGCAGTTTGAGACCTCATAGGAATTATAAAATTTTAAACTTTCGCGTTCCATTTCAACTAAAATAGTAAGACACGGGTCTTAACGCGACGTTTATTAATACATAATGTAACTCATTAATAAACGTCGCGTTAAGACCCATGTCTTACTATTTTATTTTACTCATAGTAATGTTCGTCAATATGGGCGTACGTAAGACTCTTTATGCCTGCGCAAAGTTCAGTAATTCTACAGATCACAGTAAAAAAAAGCTCCTAAAACCATCGGATTTCGAGACATCTCAATTCCAGCTGTAATTTACTTGAATTATGTCAAAGTCACAGCCAACTGGCAAATCAACCATTCAGTTAACGGCCTATCCCCTTGATAGAATGGCGCCATTAACCACATTGTAACTGTCTTTCAGCCATTACGTCTAATAAATATTTAAGGGACCGTCTAGCCAATGCTTAAATAAGATATCGGATCGTTTTCATTGGAAGCCATCTTGAAACAATACAAAGCTTCATGGAAATATCACCGTGCTTTAATAGCTAAAACTATTGATAACCATTTTGAAACAATTCAGAACATAATAGAAATATCACCGAACTATATGTTGATTATAAGACTCCCCGCATACTACAGACTTATAGTCCGCCGATAGTTGGGCCCGATTCTAATTTACACGAAGAATCGGCTGATACCAATGTTCGCACTTCCATACTTGTTCACACTGATTTAACAGCCCAACTAACTAGGCTAAGCCTAGGCGCAGACCACCGACTTTTAGTTGGCCGCAAGTTGGGCCCGATTCTAATTTGTATGAAGAATCGGCCGATACCCAATCAATGTAATGTGCGCACTTTCATAATGTCCATACTGACAACAACAGCCGGACCCACCTATCCGCCGACAAAACGTCTGTGGTCTGCGGCTAAGCTAAAAGAATTCACTAATATCAAAAGCAGGAGGGAAGTCGAACCTTAACTTCGAACTCCTCTTATGACCTTCGAACTCCTCATAAGTTCTTCTGTTTAATTTCTTTGCGGATCCAATGACAGTTTAACGTTCCACCGGGACAAACATGACCTTCACTGGTTGAGTTTTTATTGGCGGTCAAGCTGTAGATCCTGGCTAACACAGGAGTTGCAGCGGTAGGAACGAGAGGTGGGAATAGTCCCGTACTATCAAAAGCATTCTACCCTTTGTTATCTTCGTTGAGTCTAACAATAATATTGTGGATAATGTTTTAGGAGAAGTGACATGATACGGGTACATTTGAATTCGTTTGAAGTTGCGGGCGTGTAAACCTTTTCAGGGTAAAGTACACATACATATTTAGGGTGCCTCAGCATTTACATAATAGGGTCTTATATCGTCTCACTTACATTTTATATTGGGCTTCAAAAGTGTTTACTTTAGGAAAAACAAGATCTATTTTTTTTAATAAATAAACATCAGACTAAAATGCTACGAACCGCGGCATAATTCCGAAAAGCCTTTTTGGCATTTCAAATTACATTTAAGTTTAGTTCTATTGGCATTTTTTTTATATTTTCTGTGTATGTCAAATAAATATTTCTCCATTCTTTTCTATTCTGCTTTTAAAAAGCATTTCACCAAACAACTCGTGTAATACTAATTCAAGTCGCAAATAAAATACTACTCGAGGTAATCAAAGTTTCGCTGAGACTTCGAAACTATCTGGACTGGAACTCAAGGCTTCAGAATTTCACTTTGAGTCTTCTTCCAGTTTCAGGAGCAGTGACGGCAAAGCATAACTTAGGTATGTTTAAAATAGTGTTGTACAAACAATTGTAACTATCGATAGTTTTAAAACGTTATTGTCAAACGATACTTGTAACTATAATAATACTATTTTGGAATACAACAGATGCTGCCAATGCAATGCAATGTATTGACAGCCTTCAAAAGCGATAGATTAAATAGAACTCTTTTGGCGAGCAACTGGTGAGTGACACAGACTGGCGGTAGTCATATACCCTCAGATTTATTAGAGGTGTGACAAGAGAGAGATCCCATTGGAACATCTACCTCGCAAAATACACTCAACATCAAATAAACCGCACCTTCCGCGACGCAAACTTTAAAGATTTTCTTCTGACACAATCATGGTACCCCAACAATATTGGTGTTATTTGAAAGCCCAATAAATATCCTTAAAGAAAAATACATTTCATTTCTAAATAAATGATTAACATTTACAATAAATGTGACTTGAAAATAGACCTCACTTTGGGCTCACCTCTGGGATCAATTAGACCAATTTTTATGGTTATAAAACCAAATAAAGATCTCACGTGTCCTCTTTAACAGATGGATAGCGATTAATCCCAACTTAACAGTTTTATAGTCATAAAAAATGGCTATAGCGTAACTACCTATTTTTTGAAGAAGTGACTCTGGATCCTTGTAAAGACACATTTTTGGGGTAAAAACCTTTCCTTTAATGAAATGAAGTTTAAAACTAGGCTTTCAAATGGTACCTATGTTGGTGGGAAGTGGGGATGCATACGTTTGATAAGTGCTTGTCGCGGGAGGTGCGATTTATTTGATGCCGAGTGTAGTTAGACAGCAGCCTAATCACTTCCATTTTTTTTTATTTAGTGAATTCGCTCTGTTAACACACTAGTCACAAATTAATTTGTTTAGAGGAGCTTTAATTGCTATTAGCCTGAATAGTTTTCGATGTGTAACTAAACTATCGATAGTTTTACAGCACTAGCTAAACTTTGCCTTTTGTGCTTAATTTCATAGCTTGGGGGTAATTTTAGACAGGAATTCCACTTCGTGAATTATGATAATGCGCATTATTCCGCACATTCTCAACTTCTTGTTTATAACTGAAGTTACTTTGGGAAAATGGTTGGGAATTAGATTGTATCATCGTATCCCTCCGTTGAGTATCGTCTAAGTACCTACCCATACACTAATCATCTTCTAACGCGTGCACGCGTCGTGGACTCAAATAACCGTAGACCTTTTAAACATACCTAATTTAATATTACCAACTGCTTTTAAAGCGTAAAAGATATTCCTGCTGCCGTCTTAACCAAACAATACCGTAATAATCTTCCACTTTGTCCCATCTGGGTGGTAAAACCCAGGATTTCAGTTTCAATTTGCACCACGGTAATCTTACTTGATCTTTTGCTTAATGGTAAGTTCTCGTGAAATGCTCGTATATTACGAGTTGGGTTCACCACAATAGTCGAGCGGCGGGGATCGAACCCGCGTTCCTCGGATCACGAGTCGGCCAATCCGACATCTCCACCGTTCGGCTATCTTCGTTTAGTTTAAGCTTATATAAAATGGTTTAAAAGTTATTCTTGCTATCGTAGTAGGTATTATTTGCCAATAATTGGCTAATAGATTGACCTTTCTCCTTATTGAATAGAAAATAATAAGTAAAATTTAACTTTATTAATTTATAAAAGTCTAAAAAAATACGAGAATACCAAACTTTTCAGGGCGATATTAATTCTTCTGAAATGTGAAATTAGATGGAAATTAATTCTGCAGGATTTTGCCAGCCTAGATAAATGAGGTGGCTCGGAGGGAATTTATGAAGAAAAAGATAATTACAGTAGGACTATGAGTGCCAAAATATTTTCAAAGTGTTTACTTGTACCAATAATTAGAGTATTTTAGACCAATAGTTTTCGATACATAAATGTTATTAGTAAGTACATACAAACATCTGCGTATGCACAACTGTAGAGAAACCTACAACGCAACTTTATGAAATCATTTCTAAATATGAAAATAAGATCCATACTAGATATTTCCAAGAAGAAAATTTATTATCTTTAAAGTCGCGAAAGAACAATACAACAATATTCAATTAGTTAATTATTTCAAAATTCAATTGAAAGTTTTCACGAAGTTTTCTGTGTTGAAGAGAATAAGTTAAGCAAATTGCTTAAACCTCCAATTTGAATTTTCTGCTATAACAATATTACTGAAATGGACATCTTAAATTAACACTAGAAAGGCCGCCGTCCCATTTTTGTCCCACTAGCGAGTTTGATCAGCTCTAACTTTTTTATTTTTCAACGAAAGTCCATGAAACTTTTTGACTTTTTCTGTTTTATTGAATTTTATCATTTTTTAATGTTTTTGATAATATAACATTAATAGAAAAAAATTTAAAATCGGTTTTACCTAGAAGCGCCACTGGGTCAATTTTGTCCCACCCTGGTATTTGCCACAATAGTTCGATGAAGAGTCCTTTTTTCGAGGAGATACGAAAGTGGAGAGGTGAGGAGAGTTTAGGTGACTCGTGACAATGCAGAAATGTAAATATATTGTACTAGTTTTTGCCTGTGACTTCACCCGTGAGAAATTAAGTTTATTATAGAAAGACCTAATTTCTTGACACTTATCGTTGCTTTTTGACCAAATAACTGAACATTACTCTAAATTATAGCCTATATTATGTTATTCTGAAGTATTAAAAATAAAATTGCAAAGTTTTATTAAGATCGGCTTAGTATTTTATGCGTAAAAGAATGAAAAAACATCCATCGATCTAACCATGAATCCATACTCACTTAGTTCAAGTTCCAGGCATATATCCACCTATTTATCCATCCTATCCATTCATCAGTCCATCCATCCTTCAATTCATCAATATTTATTAACTTTTACATTTATAAGATTAGTAGGAAGATGGCCTCTAGACATAAGCCAGTTCATACATTGTATGATTTGATACATTTTTAAAATGTGTGACTTATAAAATTTTGAAGATTAAACGTAGATAATTTTCATTGTAATTGGTCAAAAACTTAATTGTTTGTGTACAGATAACAGAAAAATAACCATACCTATAGAAATTCCTAAACACATAGTACACCAGATAGACAAAAAACCATACAAAAAAACTTTGTGCAGAATGTGCACTATTATTTTTAAGATATTTATTTTTTATTTAAAAATAATAATGACTAGTTAAAGCAGTAATTTCATGATTTTAATACAGTATACCATCACGTAATATGTGACTATTTTAAATGAAACCAAAAATATCTAAATTTTAATAATTCCAAATTAAAATTGAATACATTTATATTTTTAAAGAAATAAGTACATATTGTTTTAACCACATAGATAAACCTTTTTTTAAGGATACTACAAATAGTTTTAACCATAATATTCATGCCTGAAACTTAAAAAATGTTACAAAATACATGCCGGGACAAAATTGACCCAGCGGCGCTTTTAAGGGGGTCGTAATCTTCGGCACTTCTAGTGTTAATAGATGCCTAGGATTATAACTGTAGAAGTAACAGCTAAATAATAAAAAGACGATAAAAGCATGGCCGTTCGTAAAACCAATGAGAATAATACTGAAGTTATTATGATCTTGCTATAAAACTACGTTTAAAATAAAGGATTACTTTATCATCAGTATTAGCAATAGGAAACTCACTCGGTACGAGCGTATCTACAGGGTGGAATTTTCTAATGCCATCTGGAGGGAAACTACTCTTAATATTGTAGATAGAAAATTTTTCTCAAAGAAAACATTCCTTTATTTTTGAAAAGAAATACAACTGCATTCAAAGATTTCAAAAAATTTGCTTGTCACACCCGGGAATCGAACCAACTAAAATCTGTTATAAATTACACCCTGTATTTTTATTGCATCGATCGTTAGGGTCAAGTAGAAGGATAAAATCTCTCTAACAAACTTGATAAATCAAATGAAAGGAAATCCATAAAATCTTAAATTATTTTAATTATGTACAGAAAATTGTATGGTATGGATGGAAGTGAATTTTTGAAATTTTTTCGAAAATCTATGAATGCAGTTTTCTTTCTTTTCAAAAATAAAGGAATGTTTCCTTTCAGTAAAATTTTCTATCTGCAGTATTAAGAGTACTTTCCCTCCAGGTGGCATTACAAAATTTCACCCTGTATATAAATGTAATAGTTTTAACGCAATATCCCAACGCTCTTACAGTATAGGTATGACTAGACTAGTTACTTGACTAATGGGAAAAGCAAGGTGGTACGCACCTGTTGAACCAGTCGTCCGTATAACGCGGGTATGGGAACGGATCGTTGCTACTGAAGTCGTATGAAGCTTCTGCGTTCTGAAACAAAATATCACCAATTTAATACACAAACTATGAGAATTTATTTAAATACTATTCATAAATTAAGCTGATTGGTTTTTCGGATCGGCAAGGTAACTTTAGACCATGCCATTGACGGCATATTATGATCCTTCATGCACGTTCTATTCAACGACACGCGGTCAATTACATTTATGAGTGAACATTGAATGAATCAATATCATTATGTATGTATGTACCTACATTAAGTACGTATTAATCTATTGCTAGGTAGGACTAGGATTCTAGGAACTTATTATGAAATGGAATCTGTGCTGAATTATTTAAAGAACAATGTTTGTTTGTTTCAATTAATATTAGCTTATAAAAGACAATAAAGTCAAGGAATTTAATTTATTAGCTTAGCTTCCAGCCTTTAAAAACTAATAACAACTGCTCAAGTCATTAAAAGTTCGAGATTATACAAAGAAAATGTCGTTTTAGAATTTCATTAACAACTTTGAGTGAAAATTATAGCTTTAGAAGTGTTCCTAATTAATTCAAGAGAGTAATTTTAAGACGTAGATAATTACAGGCGTAGTAAAGTAAAAGAAATTAATTATATTTCATATTTTGTCACATTTCAACCTTTAGAGTAGGTATAGGTGTATATTATAAATTCTATTTAGACTACTACCACAGAATAATAATAAGTACCTACTACTATGTTTACACTAATATAAATCAAGAAATGTTTTTAACTTTGTGCAGAAGAAGTTACAAACACAGTGTGGTATGTCATAGGTACCTATCCCAAGTAACACGCAAGCTGTATATTCACTGAAGTTAAGATTGATTTACGTTTTAAAGTCAGACTATCACTTTAAATCAGTTTTGACTTAGTTTAAATGCTTTTGAGTAGAATGCGGTAAAATTTACAATGCATGAAGCTATTATATGGTCTAAAAAATTAAGTTAATTGGCTTATAATCATACTAAAACATTAATTACTTTTAATATACAGCACCTTTAACAGCATTTACACTAACACAAAGGTTAAAACCGTATATTAGTAAATAAGAAAACCTAATGCATTAAATAAACGTTGTCGAAATATTCTATAGTGCATTCAGATATATTAACACATTTTACAGATTGAACGCATTTTTATGATCTTTTCTTATGCTTATTTACTGCTCAGCATTAGCCAAACATTTACTAAAGTTTTAGCTCTGTTATCTTCTTATTTTATTGTTACTTTAAAGCTTTTAGCACTATTTAGATAAATAAAAAAAATATTTTATTACTTTAGGTCATAATTTGGCCATAAAACCACGAGCCGTATGATTATATTCATTTGTGCGTTAGTAGGTCCTGTATATTCATTAGAAAATTTATGTCGAACGTGTCACGTTATTGACATGAATAAACAGTGGAAAAAAATTAAGGCCGGGTTGCACCAACTTACTTTAACAAACGTCAAAAATCTGTCAAACCCCATACAAAAAACATCGGTTATCGTCATAGTTACGGTCAAAGTTAGGTGGTGCAACTCAGCCTAAGAGAACAGGTGGAGTAAAGAGAAAGATAAAGACGGAATATTCAAACTTTATATTTGGTTTAAGAAATGCAAAACGTGTTCCAAAAAATGATACACCTCATACACAAAATACAGTACAATCGGTTGTTGTGTGAGTCAAGAAGTTCCGTAGAACATTCCTTCATCCCTTTCGGTCGTTTGCACTATTTTAAAAGGCATCTGAAAAAAAAACAAATAAGCTTATTTATGACTTAATAGAGAAGTAGTTACCTGAAAACTAAATAATTACCCGTATAACGCATACCCTTAAAAAAACGACTACAGCAACACTACTAACTAGTTACAAAAAGTTCCTTTAAATTATTACTATTACAATGAGCGAAAAATAAGATAGGTAGCTATATCGTGTTTCATTACAAATTACATTTGTAGTGATAATGATTTTATACTTAACACTTGTCAAACTAGGTACCTACCTAATTGGAGACAGATAAAATTGAAAGACGTGGAGTAGGGGATCATGACGTGATTAAAGGATTCTAAATTATTGTTTCGGTACCCTGATTAACACTAAAGCAATCCATTTTTATGACGTTTAAACCTAATGAACATTATAACATACCTAAAAAGTGTTACAGTAATGCTAAAGATATCACTTAGATATTTTATATGTAGGTTGAATGACTTAACCATTTTCTTTTTACTATAATAAGACTGACAACATTAAAAGACACTAGTTGAAAGTTTAAAACATTAATATTATCTGACGCCATTTGCTTTCTGTTTTCTCTAACATAGAAAATAAAATTATAATACACATATGCATGAAATACTACTTATTATCCTTTTCTTACAAGCGGAGTATCGATAGAAGCAATTTTATAAGTTAAAATTAATCAAATCGTTAAAAAAATCACAAAAAGTGTCATATGTCGATTCTAAATTTGTCCCTATTTTATTAAAAAAAGGATTTCTGTGAGGGCGCGTGAATTATAAACCACAAACATATATATATTTTCACATAAGACTAATACTCCCAGCTCATTTTCATTCTTGAAACAAAAAAATATGATACTTACCTTATGATAAATTATTTTAAATAAAGACATTAAAACATCTCCTCACAACACCATTGCACTGCAATACTCTAAACGAAAAATAAACAAATCGGACAATAAAATGCTATAAGTTTTTTCGAATACTTTCAAACAAACAAAATAAAACGTTCAGCCTTAGAATAAAACGTAACTTTGGCATTGTAATTCTGAAAGCTGTTTCAAAGCTGTACTAACATCTAATAAAATGCTTTTTACATTAGAATATGCTGTCTAACAACTTTACTAATGTCTGTCTTCAATAACATTATAAGCGCTGGTTAGCAGCACTAATAATATTTAATAATGCTCAAAGCCGTATTATTTGGGGCCCAAATTGCGCTTACAAGACACTTATAGACTTTTATACGGCTGATATAGTGCTACATATGCTGCTCATATACTGCTCTGCACGTAGGTTCATGCTGTTGTACGCTTCTTATAATTGTGTTTTGTGTTACTTGGGATGTCATACCTGAAATACATTAAATCAATCGTTATTGTGCTTACTTGGATGTTAACAGTACTGTTTACAGGTAAAAAGGATTTTTTCTAACCTTAACCTTTGATAAAATCCCAACCCTTTTCCATTAACAAATGTCAAAGGTTACAAAGGAAGGCACTCAAACCACCGAGGCGTTAAAATACAAGCTAAACCACTGGAGCACTAATAGAAAACGGCGCAGAGCTTTTAAGAAAGTGACGATTAAAAGAGACAAAGCTTTGCTTATTAAAACTTGACTTATGGCGCAACTAAAAGGCAACTTATTAATGGCAAAAGTTATAACGAAGTTGTTATAGTTGGCAGCACATCGGACTAATTTCAGTTGGATAGCAACATTAAAATAAATCAAAAATAAATAAATTAATAAATCTTTGGACAATTTCACACAGCGCCAGCTAGCCCCAAAGTAAGCAACTTAATGCTTGTGTTATGGGTGCTAGCTTAAGGCGATTACATGGCCGAACGACCTTGAGCATTAGAGCGAGACAACGCGCCTCCCGCCGCGCGCCCGCGATTCTTGCCCGATACCAAAGTGCGCTCAGAATACAGATGCGAAGCGCTGCCAATTCTAATATAACTGCCTACGGGAATGTTAACTCGATTTTAATTTACGCAGATCGAAAAAAATTGCGATGCTTATTTTGTGTTTCAAAACAGAATTTAAAAAAAGAAAATAAATCATTATACAGAATAATAATAATTATCGTCAGCATATTTTCAAACTGAAACAAAAGGACATTGTCAGAAACCGCCTAAAAAACCGCCCAAAAACATTAACCCATCATAATTATTTTCTATTTTTTTTAATACATTAAGCACCCTTTCATTCTAATGGACACTTAAGCATTGAAAAATTAAATAAATAAGTCTTTTAACGTTTATTCTATAATACTATTACAACTTCCGGACGTTTTGGTGCGTGGCATGGTCTAAAACCTATCAAGTTCCATAATTTTTGCCGATAAAATCTGTACGAGGCATTACCGTACTTTATTGCTGGGAGTCCATGTATAGTGATGTTCCTGCGGCCATCATAGACAATAAAATATCGATTTTGAAAATAAAATAAATCGATTAAACTGCTTTGAAGACTAGATTTGCGTTAAAAGCTAAAAAGATATTGACAGTTTGACACTATTACAAGAAGATATCTAAAGTGTCCAACTGGTCGAAGGTCGTAAATAAAATAAAAATAATTAGGACCATAAACTGATATTCATGGTATCATAACTGTAAAAGTGTCAGAATCCGATGTTGAATCCAATGCCAGTTGAAGTGTGAGAAACATATATATTTTTTTTCTTTAGGGACTCACCTGGCAAGGAACTGCCTGTTGACAGGCGGGCCAGTCTTTAGGGACTCACCTGGCAAGGAACTGCCTGTTGACAGGCGGGCCAGTCTTCAGGTGCGTTGCGACGACGTCAGCCAAAGCCGCTATGAAGGTTGGGTGGTCGTTTGGTGCTGCCGCTCGCTCGATTTGGGTGATACCGGCCTGGGGATATAACAAGTGAATAATTTAGATACAATTAATATTAACAACGGTTTTACATAATTAGCAAACAAACATTTCAAAAACTGCTTGCAGGTGCGAAAATAAGGTGTAGTATTAACTAAAAAACAATGATTTTCAAGTTTGTATCATAATCTCATATTAAAAATTCGAAGTCTGTCGCCTTAACATGAACAGTATTGTTGTTTCGTAAGTTGGAGTAAAAAGCTTGTCTACCGTAATTTTGTAATATCCCTAGGGATTTCTGATATCACTGCGACTGCGATTCAATCAAAAACGAATGAGAATAGCCATTCAGTTACAGAATGGAATTAAAAAAATAACGATAATTTCATAGAGAACATTGTTAAGGTAGTTTGTATAACAGCATGCTTTACCATTTTATAATAAAACAATCAACATACCTCCTTAGCTACTTCGTCGCAGTATTCGATATCCAATTCGTGCAGCGTTTCGATGTGCTCGTTGACGAACGCTATCGGCACCAGGATCAAGTGCTTACGGCCTTGCTTCGCGTATGCCTGGAAAATACAGTATTTTAACTAAAGACTTCAATACAAATTAAAATAGGAAACAGAACACACCTGCTTTAGGAGTCTCGAATAGAGAAGTAATAATAATAATAAATAAATGTTTATTTTCTCTTCAAAAAGGTAATCAGGGTGTCCACTGCAAATGTTCGAAAAAATTCCCTGACTTTTCCCTGACTTTCCCTGACATTTTTTTCAAAATTCCCTGACCATCTATGTATACAACGTGTCCCAAAATTCAAGGGTAAGCCGACGCCACAGGATGGACATAGTCATGACTACTTTAGGAAAAATAAGGAAAAAATCTATCTCAATTATTTTTTAACTTACACAATAAATGATGAAATTCAACGAAAATTGACACCTTATGATATTTTACATTACCACGACCACAATTTTTCAATAATTCCTGGTTTTCTGTTTATATCGGCAACTTAAGTAGTGCTGCTGTTCACCCCAACTCTTAAAACCCCCAGAATCCTTGCAGTTTTTACACAAAAGTTAATCAAAATATTTTATTTCCTTAAAATTTTGAACGATTTTTACTTTCACTCCATTTTGACTCCGGCTTATCCTTGAATTTTGGGACACGTTGACTTTTCGGATAGATCCAGTTAATTCTGTAACCTATTACTGATATCGTTTGAAAGAGCTCGTGAAGCACTTTCAAGATCAGTAAGCAGTTTTTCGATATCTTGTGTAGTTTAGAAATAATCGAATGAGATCACTTATCGTTTCCACCCTGTATTAATAGCACTCACAGTGAACTGCTCACTAGTCTGCACTCAATAAATAATTATAAAAAAAATAAACATAAGTTATAAGTTGCACTTTCACATCGACAATAGAAAATATATCATTTTACTGAAACAAAAAAGTACAACTATTAAAACAAAAAGGAGTAACTAATCTAATTATGACAAAAAAAAAACATAACATAGATCACTCTAATCCTGAAAAAAAACCTATATGAAAGTAATAATCTAATTATGAACAAAATTATGTCATAATTTAGATCAATCCACTTCATTAGATAAAAAACTAAAAAGGAGTAATATAATTATGACTAAAAACAAATTCATAATGTAGATCACTCCAAACCTGAAAAAAAAATGCTTCATATATATTCTATAGTCAAGATCAAAGGTCTTTCTAGAGCATAAATTAATTAAATCCCTCATTTTACAATCACTGGGAAATTTCGGGAGACAAACAGTGTTTTGGTAGACAAAATCTCAATGTTTCCCTGACTTTCCAGGTGACCCCTCTATTTCACTGACTTTCCCTGACTGCTATGAGCTTCCCTGACTTTTCCCTGACTTTCCCTGACTTTCCAGAATGTGGACACCCTGGTAATAATAAAGAACAGGGTTCGAAATCCGTATTTCACAAGGGTCATTTGGATAGAACGATTACTCGATAGGATCGCAACTCAGCGATTTGTTGTCGTTAAAGTTTTGTTACGTGAATAAGGCTACTGTAGTCATTAAGCTGTATAAGTCACCACAATATGACCACTACAGCACCCTTATAACGCCACTATATGACCAACCTTAATAGCATCGTCCGTATAAGGCTGCAGCCAGGGCAAAAGCCGTACTTTAGACAGCCACACCACTCTATGTAGTCATTAAGCTGTATAATACACCCTTATAACACCACTATATGACCAACCTTTATAGCATCATCAGTATAAGGCTGCAGCCACAGCAGTGGCCCCATTTTGGACTGCCACACCAGTCTAAGTTGTCTAATACACCCTTATAACACTACTGTATGACCACTATAGCACTAACCTTAATAGCATCGTCCGTATAAGGCTGTAGCCACGGCAGAGGCCCTACTTTGGACAGCCACACCACTCTTATGTAGTCATTAAGCTGTATATACACCTTGTAACACCTCTATAACACTGTTATAGCACTAACCTTAATCGCATCGTCAGTATAAGGCTGCAGCCACGGTAGCGGCCAAACTTTAGACTGCCACACCAGTCTATGTAGTCATTAACAGTCTTAAGCTGTCTAATACACCCTTATAACACAACTATATGACCACTATAGCACTAACCTTAATAGCATCGTCAGTATAAGGCTGCAGCCACGGTAGCGGCCCTACTTTGGACTGCCACACCAGTCTATGTGTATAATACACCCTTATAACACTACTGTATGACCACTATAGCACTATTTTAAGACTAACCTTTATAGCATCATTAGTATAAGGCTGTAGCCACGGTAGCGGCCCTACTTTGGACTGCCACACCAGTCTATGGGGGTTGGGTACGTTTAGTTCTCTCATGGTTGCTGCCACTGTCGCTGCTACTTCATGGGGGTATGTGTAAGCTGTATATTACACTACTATAGCACCGTTATAACACTTTTCTTGATTGCATTATCTAAATACGGCTGTAACTAAGTCTTCAGCACCAATTTGTTCATAAAGCTGTATAAGACGCCACTATAGCATCGTTATAGCACTAACCATAATAGCATCATCAGTATAAGGCTGTAGCCACGGCAGAGGTCCTACTTTGGACAGCCACACTAGTCTTAAGCTGTCTAATACACCCTTATAACACCACTATAACGCTGTTATAGCACTAACCTTAATAGCATCGTCAGTATAAGGCTGCAGCCACGACAAAGGCTCCACTTTGGACTGCCGCACCAGTCTACGTAGTCATTAAGCTGTATAATACACCCTTATAACACCATTATAGCACTAACCTTAATAGCTTCATCAGTATAAGGCTGTAGCCACGGTAGCGGCCCTACTTTGGACTGCCACACCAGTCTATGGGGGTTGGGTACGTTTAGTTCCGTCATGGTTGCTGCCACAGTCGCTGCTACTTCATGGGGGTATGTGTCTCCACGCGATACTGCCTGGAATGAGAATTTTATTTTATTGTTTCAGTCAATAACAGTCTACTACTAAAGTACGGCCAACTATCAGCGATACAAAGACCGATACGACTGTCGAGTTGACAATATATTCTGTCTCTTCCCATCTTGTGTATTTGTCGTAATGTCTCGTTCTCCCTCCAAAATATGTCAAAGTCAGACGGGTTCACCCATGACATTGGGTTTGTTTACATTTGGTATCGCTTCTCGTTGGCCGTAGTTTAGACGTAAGTCTCCAATCATGTATGCATGACTAGCTGTGCCCGCGGCTTCGTACGCATGAAAATAGTTTGGATAACACTTCCCGCTTTTGCAACATCCTTTACTTACTTTATAGCCGAAAGTCTTCCTCCATAAATGGGCTATCCTACACAAAAATAATTTATCAAATCGGACCAATAGTTCCTGAGTTCCAAACTCTTCAGCTTTATAATATTAGTATAGACGTTTCATTCTTTTAAGTACACTGAAATTATGTTTTTTTTTTTTATGCAAGACAAGGCAGGTATTTGACCGCAATCGCACCTGGTGTTAAGTGAGATGCAGTCTAGGATGGTACATATCTGCCCTGTAAGTGCTTATTCACTCTCACCTTGAAAACGCCCGGATTATAGTGTTCAGGAAATACAGCAGCAGACAGCGAATTCCAGTCCCTAGCCGTTCGCATTATAAGAGTCATCGAAACGCGTAGTGCGAGCTGGTGGAATGTCAACAATATAGGGATGGTACGCTGACCTGGGTCTGGTAATGTGCGCACTTCCATACATGTCCATACTGATTAACAGCCCGACCCAACTATCGGCCAACTAAAAGTTGGTGGTCTGTGCCAACCCATATTTTTTAAGTGACCCCTATGGTAACACAACAGGAATTTTGTTTTCATAGGGATCACTTAAAATTAGGGATTGATGGTGAAAACGAGCATTAAAGGCTTACCATCTGTATAATAGTCGTCTGTGAATTTTGTTTTCATAGGGGTCACTTAAAATTAGGGATTGATGGTGAAAACTGTCATTGACTGTATTGATGATGATGTCCTCACCTTCAAAGGCAAGCTGTGCGCCGTGAACATAATAAGCACATCGTCTCGGATCCTATCGTCGAACTTCTCCAGTTTCTCGGCTATTCGGTTGCCAACCCCTATTTTTTAAGTGACCCCTATGGTAACACAACAGGAATTTTGTTTTCATAGTGATCACTTAAAATTAGGGATTGATGGCGAAATCGGGCATTAAAAGCTTACATCTGTATAAGCCAACTCACTGCGGGCGCCCGTCGCAGTCGCGACAGCAATATAATTACGCGCGAGCGATAAGGATGGGTAGCTTGGGGTCATTGGACAAAATTCTACGTGCTCACAGACCAGGCTTTAGTCGTCTGTCATTAATAATAAATAATAATAATAAAAAGCATTTATTTCTTTCTTTCACAATCCATTATTACAGTGAAACACAAATTGCTATGTACTAATTGAACAGGGTAAGATTGTGAGAGAACTGGAGTCTGAACTAGGCGAGAAGCCTGTACTACAGAGCGCCAGTACTCTCCTCTCTCGATAATGGCCGGAGCACATAGAATTTATTAAAGTTATTTTAAAACTAGACAAAAACTAGACTGAAATAATTATTCAAGCTCACCTTCAAAGGCAAGCTATGCGCTGTGAACATAATAAGCACATCGTCCCGGATCCTATCGTCGAACTTCTCCAGTTTCTCGGTTATTCGGTTGCCAACCCCTATTTTTTAAGTGACCCCTATGGTAACACAACAGGAATTTTGTTTTCATAGGGGTCACTTAAAATTAGGGATTGATGGTGAAAACGGGCATTAAAGGCTTACCATCTGTAGTCGTCTGTGAATTTTGTTTTCATAGGGGTCACTTAAAATTAGGGATTGATGGTGAAAACTGTCATTGACTGTAATGATGATGATGTCCTCACCTTCAAAGGCAAGCTATGCGCCGTGAACATAATAAGCACATCGTCCCGGATCCTATCGTCGAACTTCTCCAGTTTCTCGGCTATTCGGTTGCCAACCCCTATTTTTTAAGTGACCCCTATGGTAACACAACAGGAATTTTGTTTTCATAGTGATCACTTAAAATTAGGGATTGATGGTAAAATCGGGCATTAAAGGCTTACATCTGTATAAAGCCTGGTCCGTGAGCACGTAGAATTTTGTCCAATGACCCCAAGCTACCCATCCTTATCGCTCGCGCGTAATTATGTTGCTGTCGCACAGTCGCGACAGCAATGTAAAATGGGTAGCTTGGGGTCATTGGACGAAATTCTACGTGCTCACGGACCAGGCTTTAGTCGTCTGTCATTGACTGAAATAATGATTCAAGCTCACCTTCAAAGGCAAGCTGTGAGCTGTGAACATAATAAGCACATCGTCTCGGATCCTATCGTCGAACTTGTCCAGTTTCTCGGCTATTCGGTTGCCAACCCCTATTTTTTAAGTGACCCCTATGGTAACACATAACAGGAATTTTGTTTTCATAGGGATCACTTAAATAATAATAAATAATAAAGGCACTAAAGGCTTACATCTGTATAGTCGTCTGTGAATTTTGTTTTCATAGGGGTCACTTAAAATTAGGGATTGATGGTGAAAACTGTCATTGACTGTAATGATGATGATGTCCTCACCTTCAAAGGCAAGCTGTGCGCCGTGAACATAATAAGCACATCGTCGCGGATCCTATCGTCGAACTTGTCCAGTTTCTCGGCTATTCGGTCGGCGAACACCCGCGCTAGTAAAGGATGCGTGGGCCACCGCTCTATCATACTGAACTTTATGCTGGGGGGGACTTGTCTGGAAAAGAGAAATACGTACATATAAATTCGACCGAAATACCGCAGTGTCTCAAGACGAAAGTCTTCGAGCAGTGTGTGTTGCCAGTGCTGACATATGGATCCGAAACGTGGTCGCTTACTATGGGCCTCATAAGAAGGCTCAAGGTCACCCAAAGGGCGATGGAGCGGGCTATGCTCGGAGTTTCCCTGCGTGATCGAATCAGAAATGAGGAGATCCGTAGGAGAACCAAAGTAACCGACATAGCTCGCAGAATTGCTAAAATCAAGTGGCAGTGGGCGGGGCACATAGCTCGTAGAGACGATGGCCGTTGGGGCAGGAAAGTTCTCGAGTGGCGACCACGGGCTGGAAAACGTAGCGTGGGCAGGCCTCCTACTAGGTGGACCGACGATCTGGTAAAGGTCGCGGGAAGAGCCTGGATGCGGGCAGCGCAGGACCGTTCATTGTGGAAAACCTTGGGGGAGGCCTTTGTCCAGCAGTGGACGTCATTTGGCTGAAACGAACGAAAGAACGTACATATAAAATCCGAATTGTTAGTAAATTAAACTTAAATAACAAACAACTAGCTGACCCGGCGAACTTTGTTCCCCGCCTTAATGGCAATAAATAAGCAGACTTTTTTTAATTTCGAACGGGATAAAAAGTATCCTATGTCCTTCTCCTGGCTCTAAACTACCTCCCTGACAATTTTCAGCTAAATCGGTTCAGCCGTTCTTGAGTTATAAGTGGTGTAACTAACACGACTTTCTTTTATATATATAGATTGTTAGTAAATTAAACTTAAATAACAAACAAGGTCAACAACTTCGAGTATAATGTCTCTAACTTTCAGAGGAGTAGGTACAACACGGGCATTTGACATGATTTTTGTTTTGTCCATGTTCATTTTAAGACCCACTTGTTGAGAGGCTCTACTGAGGCCATCGAGCATTGTGCTTAGATCCTCCATAAGGAAGACGCAGTGTGGGCAGGCCTTCAACTAGGTGGACCGACGATCTGGCGAAGACCACGGGAGGTGCATGGATGCGGCGGCGCAGGACCGGTCAATGCAGTGTTGCCAGTCGGGTCTTGTCAGAAGTTACCAGAAATATAAAAAAATGTAACCTTTTTGAATAAAAAGTAACCTTCATATATTAGGGGCGGAGCGATTGTGTAATAAATAAATAATCTTTGGACAATTTCACACAGCGCCAGCTAAGTGTAAGGTTGTTCATGGATGGAAAATTAATACATCAATCGTTTACCTAAATTCGAAATTTTGACCATTCCATGAAGACCGAAAAGTGACCGGTTGTATAAAAACGTTTCATGGATTTGCGTTTCACTAACGAAAAACATTCGCTAAAATTCATTTTTTTAAACAAATAATAAATCAAATTCATGCTTAAATGCACTTTATGACATAATTTTTAAATTGTTAGTATTAATATTTTTTACTGAATTACCTGTAAAAGTCAATTTTACAATTTCTGAAAAATCGCCTAAAAGTAACCTTTTCATTAGTGTAACCTAAAAGTAACCAATGCAGTTCAAAAGTAACCTAAAAGGTTACAAAAGTAACCTTCTGGCAACACTGGGTCAATGTGGCTTTGTCCAGCAGTGGACGACATTTGACTGAAACGACGACGATGTAAATATAAAATGCAGGGTTCAATTTTATTGTGAGTAAAATTAAGTTCAGACAGTGAAAGTTTTTTTTTTATTTTATTTTTTAGCTAGACCAGGCAGGTATTTGACCGCAATCGCACCAGGTGTTAAGTGAGATGCAGTCTAGGATGGTACATATCTGCCCTGTAAGTGCCTTAAGTAAGTTGCACCAATGTACTTTAACCGTAACCGTAATTTCCAGGAAAACCCTTAAAACAGCCTTTTTCTTTTACCCATATAATTTTTCTAACTAAAATATAGTCAAATTGAATTTAATTGCTATACAATAAAGTTCATAAAAAACTGCCACATTCCAAATATTTTTGATTCGTCTCAAAAATATTTGGAATGTGGCAGTTTTTTAGTCTGTCGCTAACTTCTAATATTTTTAATGGTGTGATGGAATGAACTATCATAGCAGAGGCCTTTAGTTTCAAATAGTTTCAGACCATTATTGTACATACATCATCGAAAAAAAAAATTTTTTTTGAACTAACAAACTTCAATTGCTTCAATACAAAGGCAAACCTTACCTGTTCTTATAAAAGTCCGCGATAGCGTTCAAACTGGAGCCCGTGGTCGCACAGCTGTACTGAGGGTACTGGGAAAATATCACCGCCCGGTCCACGCCGTCTCTGTGGACACAATTACAAATAATACACTCAGCATCAAATAAATCGCACCTCCCGCAACAAGCACTTCTCAAACGTATGCATCCCCACTTCCCACCAACATTGGTACCATTTGAAAGCCTATTTCTAAACTTCATTTCATTAAAGGAAAGGTTTTTATCCAGAGTCACTTCTTCAAAAAATAGGTAGTTACGCTTGAGCTAATTTTTATGGCTATAAAACTGTAAAGTTGGGATTAATCGCTATCCATCTGTTAAAGAGGACACGTGTGATCATTATTTGGTTTAATAACCATAAAATTTGGTCTAATTAAGGTGAGCCCAAAGTGAGGTCTTTTTCCAAGTCACATTTATGGTATATGTTAATCATTTATTAAGAAGTTAAATGTGTTTTTCTTTAAGGATATTTATTGGGCTTTCAAATAACACCAATATTGTTGGGGCTCCATGATTGTGTCAGAAGAAAATCTTTAAAAGTTCGCGTCGCGGAAGGTGCGGTTTATTTGATGTTAAGTGTATGTTTGCCATTTTCTATTGTTGTGTGACAAATTGTATGCTCTTTGACCGGAACATACTGTAACATGTCACCATTTCATCTATAATTCACAAATAAAGATTCTGTATTTGCACTTTTTTAATAGATCAAAAGCTAGGCTTGCATTTCTGTTCGAAAGTGATGATCAGACCAAAGGTGGAAGCGAGCTTCACCTGGAATTCTCAACCACAGAAAAACTCATATTAAACTGTCGTGATGAGACCCGTGTTTCTTTATTTTAGTTGAAATGTTTAAAATCCTATTCATCAATCATCGTTTTTTACGTACATACAGATGTAGAAGAGTGCATAATTATGGTCTTATCACAGTGTATATTATCTAAATCAGCATAAATTACCTCTCGATCTCCGTGAAAGCGTCTTCCGTAAACGGTGGCACATATCTGAAGGCCACATAGTGTTTGTGAGGGGCTGTCTCGGGCATCATCTGGTCCAGCGCTTTGGTTAGCAGCCTGCCTGGAATTGTATGCGATAAATACAAATTAAGTTATAGATAATAGCAGGCCTGTTCATCTCCGCGAATTTGCATCGAAGACAAAACACGCGCGATTCATGTATTTCTTCCGCCATTTTCCGCAGTTTGGCACCTCACGTCACACATCATTTTACTGAAGTCAGCCCTATGGCTTCGGCGCAGTACCGATCACTGACATTTATCAACAAAATGGTGCTCGACTCTTGAGACAAGCTAAATTACACCATATTGTTAACGACATTGAGCATACATTTTTTTTAAATACCTTCGCGAAGTAAAACTTCTGTACGTAGTACTTATTATTCTGTGGTAGTACTTATTATCATTCTGTGATAATAGTGATAAGAGTTATTTAGGGTGTCTGTCACCATCTCCAAGTAAGTTCCAATTAGTTACTTCCTGATTACCATTTACCACTACTGAGCAAGTAAAATAAGAAGTATTTTAGCTTGCCAAACTTGATAAACATGGCGAAATTTGATAAATTGTTACTCATGACTTTAAACTACCATATTTGAACTTTGTCACACGCTAGTGGCGCCAAATGGTGAGTAGTCAAGTAAGAAATTATTATTAATTGGTAATCTGTAGTTAATAATAATGAGGACTATCGCAGTAGTTTTATTTCAACTCGTAGTCGTTATAGTATAGTGCGACCGCCCGTCGCACATTCGCGACAGCGATATAATTACGCGCGAGCGATAAGGATGGGTAGCTTGGGGTCATTGGACGAAATTCTACGTGCTCGGCGACCGGACTTTAGCTAAAATAACGCCGCTGTCGCCAAGTGGTAAGCGCTTCAACAATAAAGGGAGCTATCTAAAAAGTAACTAACTGCCTACCTTGTGTATTAGTCCACTTCAATATAGGTGACCCGCCACCAATCTCGTTGTACTTCTTCTTGACCTCCTCCGTCCGTCTAGAGGCGATCCAGGGGCCGAGTCTGCTCTGGACTGGGAGTTGGATCATGTCCCGGTCTGTCATTATTCTGTGGAGATAGTCGCCCACCTGGAGAAATAAGAAAATAATAAGGTCAAAACTAGGGATGTTATGGATATGTATAGCCTGACCAGGAACATAAAAACCCTCGCCATGTTGCGGAAAATTAATGGTACTAATTTCTTTTAATGGCAACAGTAACTGAAAACTTCATTGACATGTCACCTTGCATGTCAGTCTATTGCTGTCAAAGTGTAAACAAACTTTATTTTAAATGTGCGCAATTGATTTTGTGAATTAAATTGCTAAAATCTTTTTATAGTCGTGAAAGAAAAGTGGTTCACAATGTGTTAAAGTATTTGTTGAAGAGAAATACTAAGGGTTCGGACAATATTTTCATTGAATAATATTTCCGACAAAGGTTGTCAAATTGACTGACATGTTTATCGTATAGTACAGTCAACTATGAAAATTAGCTGTGGTTTGTTTCAACTACCTATTTTAAAGTTTTTTGTCACTTTGTAAGTATTGAATTTTATGGAATTGGGAAAGAAGTATCGAGTTTGAAGCGTTCATGAGCAGACATCGTAGTTGAATATTCAAGTTCAGAATTTGATTATTGATGAATAATAATAAAATCCTACTTGCTCGATTGATGGTTTCATTTAATTTATTTAAACCAGTTTACCTATAATATAATATTATTTGTTAATTTATAAAAATATTAAATTAGCCTATAATCCTGAATCCGATACATACAGTTAGCCTATTAATTTAATACAGGTACGACTGTACCCAGTGTTGCACTATCAAATGCAATTGAAGCGCCTCTATGCCAGGGTTTTTATGTTCCTGGTCAGGCTATAGTTTCGGTTACGGTTACAGATATCTTTTTATTTCGGATATCCGAAAGTTTCGGTTGCGGCTACGGATATCCATAACATCCCAGGTCAAAACATTGTATAGATCGTTTCATTCACTAAGACACGCCCCACTAATTTTTGGTCTCGGTCGTGCGGCATTATTGTAGTGTGCGTGTGCACTCATGGATGATTTAGCGTGTACCGATAACACTCAAACATTAGCGGAAGAATGGTGGGGCGCGTCTTCGTGGATGAAACGATCTTTATCAGCCATAGGCTATCGTTTTTATACTAAACAGTTGGCACCACTGGCGACATACATGACTCTACAGGCACCATCCTGGTGAGAGCAAATGCTACACAAGGTACAGTCAGCAACAAGTAGTTCGTGGCACCCAAAGTGGCCAATAAATTCGCAATATGTCTTTGTTATAACTAGATTATGGTTGAGTTATCAACTTTATGGCCACTGTGTGTCACCACCAAAATAATTATAGCGTAAAATTTTGCCAAGACGACACCATATGCCTCGATAGTCGATAGAATAGTGAAGGTACTGGCCGACTCTACGTTTGAGGTACGCGGGTTCAAACCCTGCCGCCGCTCGATTGTTGTGGTAAACCCAATCATAACCCAAGCATATTTAGCTTTAATTAGTAAGGGTTAATAGGACTACAAACTACTAATTTTTACGCAATTTGCATTTACAAATTACTAATGAATGATGAAATTATAATAATGAAAAGATGAGTAGGAGGAGTAGTAGTTGACTATTAAGCAGGGTTCGAGGATATATATCAAGGGATATATATCTTGATATATATCGGATATATATCTATATTATATAAAGCTCGATTACCACTCACTGACTGACTGACTCACTGATCAGGGGTATTTTTGGGGTATTTAGAGGGGAGAGGGGTAAAATTGTTAGTGTTTGTTTTACTAGATTTTTCGACTGCCAGCTTTACTGGATTTTTTGAACCAAAAAACAAAATGGCGGCACTTTTTGAAACACAAACTTTTCTGTCTTTGGTCCTGAATTTTTTCTTTTTTGGTGGTTTGTTGGGGTTGCCAAAAGGTGTATTTTAATGTGAGAAAAAAATGGAAAAACAAAATGGCCGCGCCGCCATCTTGGATTGAAAATGCGATTTCGAGGTGTTTTTAGGGAGGTGTCACTCCGAGATGCGCAATTGTTTTTGAAAATTTCTTTTGGGTATTTGTGACATGTATAGTCTTCTTAAGAGATACATTCACAGATTATCAAAAAACAAGATGGCTGCTGAGCCGTCGGCCATTTTGTTGCGATCAAAAAATTCCCAAACTTTGGTAGCAATTTTCCGGTAGATGGCGACACCGGAGTGGGGTACAATGTTCCGGGCGATTGTTGGTCTGTTATTCGAGTGTTGCCATGAATCGGAAAAAACTACCATTTTGGTAGAAAATTTTCCACCACGGCCCCGGATAGTAGAAAATGGAAATTTCCAAAAATTCCATAAACTTGGAATGCAGTCTGGTGACATTTGGGGACCCGAATGACATTTCACCATTTTTATCAAAAAAGTCTGGCAACACTGAAAGTTATGGGGAAAAGTTTTTTTTGCGACATGGGTGACTTTAAAGTTAGTGACAGACAGAAAGAATTATGGCAGAAAAAAAATAAAAATGACGTTTGGTAAAAAAAGTAAAAATGGGGTTCGGCGCAGAAAATGGTCCAGATTAAGGCAAAAATGCAAAATTTTGGAAATCCAAGATGGCCGCCAAGCGTTCACCCGTTTTCCTAAAGGGACTAAATTCTCCATACAAATTGTATGCAGGGGGCCTTAGCTAACGTAGAAAAAGGCGAGGCCGAAGGCCGAGCGATAGTTTAAAGCCTGTGAGTCGCCATGAGTTATTTTTAATGCGTCAAAAAAGGACTAGAGCCCAGTGACAGACAGAAAGGCGAGGCCGAAGGCCGAGCGATGGTTCAAATCCCCACAGTACCCATAGATTTACTTGTGTTGCGTCAAAAAAGCACAAGAGCACAGTGACAGACAATAAACACCCCCTGTAATTTTTGCGAGGCCGAAGGCCGAGCTCCGAATGCGAGGCCGCAGGCCGAGCGCCGCGTAGGGCGAAGCCCGGAGCGGCCAGCATCGCAGATCTAGCTTTTGTAGCCCGCGTAGCGGGCGACCAAAGCTAGTCCGATATATATCAAGCCGGTTTTAATGATATATATCAACTTTTAAAATTTGTTACTGTATTTGTACTTCTTGACATAAGATTTTTATATTTTTAGTTCATTTTGCCGTATTTCAAAGAAATTTTATGTTTTTGCTTTATTTCTCTGATTTTAAGATTTAAAAACATTAAAAACATGTTTATGTAACACTTATGCAATAGTATTCATGAATAATACAATAAAATAATAGTATGGCTTTCATACAAAATTTATATACATATATCAAAGTTGATATATATCCGATATATATCATAAATATCCGATATTTTGATATTTATAATAAATATCGGATATTTTCGAACCCTGCTATTAAGTAAATTCAGATTTGATAATGATGATGATGAAAAGTTAAAAACACATGGAATCGTTATTCTCACTTGATCTGTGGTCTGCGGGCCACCCATGTTCAGCATGATGATAGCTGTCTTCGGTTTGGCCACAATGGTCGTCTCCACTGCTGTGCTGTATGAGTTGATGGATATCCGCTGCAGTAGCGCTGCATTTAGACGATCTGCGGGCAATTATTGGACATAGGAACATTTCAATTAAACTTTTGGTCTAAAAACAATATTTTCTTTTTAAAAACAAATTATATGGCCACAGAAATAGAGCGCTACAAGAAACAGCACATAGAGCGTCTTACTCATCACCCCAATCCACTCGCCTATGGATTACTGGAGAATGACAACGTGGTTAAAAGGCTAAAAAGAAACCACGTAATTTAAAAAGACAGCTTAGGCATAGGCCAGCTGCTCTTTAACAATAACATGACACTCAACATATCTGATTATAGTCTGGCGACTGATGGCAGAAATCATTAACACAAAAAAAAAAAAACAAATTATTATTGATATTGGTCTAAACTCTAAACCATTGGTTCCTAAAGTGGGGGAGGCGCAAAGACCTTTAAAGAGTGGCGCGGGCCATCTGTGTACTAAAGTAAAACACCTGCGATCGCTAAGAGAATGAATTCCAGACTGCTCGATACGACCAATAAATAATCTTGACTGGAGGAGGGGGGCGGAATTTTTTGTATGGTGGAAAGGGGGCGCGTTTCAAATAAGTTTGGGAACCAATGCTCTAAACCAAAACTCCAATGAGAATCAAATTAGAAAATCTCCCTTTTGACTACCGCTATACTGCAGCATCGGGCCACGATGTTTACATATTTCGGTGAACAAAACCATCAACTGGCATTAATAAACATACGAAAACACCGGATATATTTTAATTAGTATGACCTTATTGTTTAATGCGATATTAAGTCAGAATGCTGAGTTTAAGACTGTAATATTGTAGAAAAACATTGCTACTTACTGAATAGTGGCATCATCATAGTAAATTTTCACTTTCTTCGAGTTTTATTGAAGACTGATTTTGTAACCTATTTAGAATTATGTCAATAGAGATAAAAGTTAAATGGTAGAGGTACCGGAATTTAAATAGAAATTGTACTAAAAGTACACAGATTTATCACCTATGCAGATACAATATGAATTTGTAACATTTCAAGAAAGAAAATATAAATTTCCCGAAAATAAACCAAAACCAAGATTTCAAGAAACTGAATGAATGAGTGAGTGAAAAGTGAATGAAAAAAATAATGTGACCACAGATATGGATTAAATGTGACATAGCAAAGAATGAACGACAAAACACAAAAAAGTGCAGTCCAACAAGACACAATTGCTTGGCACTTGGCAATCATCATAAAAGCAGAAGGTCCGTGAATAGGCAGCTTTGTGACAAACATTTGTAGTCTATGGTCAACTATTTACAAAAAAAATACAAAGTCATCAACGTCAAACAGAAGTATTATTTTTGTGATTGTGAAATTAATTTATTCTAAATCATAATTTTATTTTCTTGCTTTTGTTCTAATAATTTCTAAAATGTCTTGCCGCAATGCTTCTCACGCTGGAAGTTGGTACACTGAAAATGGTATGTAGACGAAGGAAACTCTTTGTGAATACTTTCTTTTTGTGTCACAAAGTTTATAAATAATCAGTAATAAATATTTTGTGCGTGTTTATTGTTATTAGAATTTCAGTTTGCATAATACATTTTGTTTAAATTCAATTTATTACAGTCGTATCATTTAGAAGTCAAAAGGTTATTGACCTCTCTTTTTCGTAGAAACCCAGAAGTAAAAGTTCTTTGTTGTGTGCTTGTGCAGCTAAAGGAATCAAGGAATCGCCTAAAATCTATTGTCTGCCTGCACTGCACACTCGGTCAGTTAGTTCATTTAAACGTTTTATACCAACCTTTATAATTAACATTAAAAAATAATTCATTTCTTTCAAAAATATTGGAATTTTGTACTATTCTCTTTTACTTTTTGTTATGGTTTAGAAAAGGTTTTTTTAAATAGATTTTCTTATTTTGAAATGGATTCTCCAAAAAATTTTATAAAACTACCATTTCAATTTGAAGATTTAATTATCTACCAAAACAAGTATTTCCGAACGAATCAAACGGAAGTCACGGTTGCCATGACACTAATTTGAAATGTCAAATTGAAGAAATAAACAAAACGGTCGATTTTTCTTCAAGAAAATATTTACCATAGAGAAAAGTAATACATAGGAAATAGAGAACCCTCTCTGTCAAATTTTTGAGCCTACTAATTGACAGCCTGGTGTTAAATTCGCTGTACTTAACCTACGTACGTAACGCTCACATACACACATAGTACACGCACACATACATACATAAAGTCCACGCATACATACACACAGTTCACGCACACATAGGCCCTCATAACCTTCAAAGAATTATTGTTTTTTTGATGTACAATGTAGAATTTTTTCAAATCCATTATTTTGAAAGTATTTATCTTTATGGTGTACGTATTGTATTATTTTCAAAACAATGGATTTGGAAAAATTCTACATTGCACATGGAAATGCAAATAAACAAAAACTTTTCAATTTAATAATTTTACTTTATTTATGAACACACATAATATTATACACCAAAAGCGTCTTTTCGCAAAGTTTTCAACAACACTAAAAAAGCATTTGCACTTTGAGAAAACTCAGATCACTTGTTAACATAACAGAAAGTTTCTTCGCGATTCACGAAGGAACGAACAAAACTCCGATGAACCAGAACAGCAGCAGGTACGAAGGAATGAACTTGAATTTGACTCGACTCTTCAATACTTTAATAGGGCCACAGAACTCATAAACGATGGCTAAGAAAACAAGAATGCATTCAACCTAACAAAAACAACACCGGCCATTTTGGAGGAAAAACAAAGTTGCCATATGTTAAATAGTAATTTCTACTACTCTATTAAGTAAATTATAACAAAAAATGTCACCGTTCAGTTTTAAATTAAAACAAATTAATTTCATTTTAAAAAAAGTTTTCACATTGTAATTAACAATATTCTGAAATATATTTTAATTAAGAAAAAAATGAAAATATGAAGGAAACAGGAGCAGCGACATGCGTTTTAGGGTAGTTAAAAAGTATTGCTTCCTCATTGTTTGTTATAGCATTGCTGCAAAATCTGAAAAGCTTTTAAATATTTTAAGATGTGTTTCTGGAGTCTGGTGGGGTGCTCACCCAGCGTCATTAAGACTTTTATACAATGCTATTATAAGAAGTGTACTTGACTATGGCAGTTTCTATCTAGAGCCTTGTAATTTAGTTGGTTTAAGTAAATTGGATGCGATTCAATCTAAAGCGCTAAGGATTATAGCTGGTGCTATGAAATCGAGTCCAATTAATGCCTTGCAAGCTGAATGTGTTGAGCCCCCAGTGAAATTACGCCGCCAATATTTATGTGACAAGTATCTTTTCCGTGTACTTCAATTTGCTGACCATCATAAATATAGCAAACTCAACAGACTTAATGATTTAATTGATACTTCCTCTTATTGGTCACGTAAATCTCCTCCTTGTGTGATTATTAGTTTTCGTAAATTTATATCAATCCAAGCCCCAGTCTACAGAACCTCCTTTCTTCCGATCATCATCAACAGCCCTTTACAGTCCACTGCTGGACTATGAGCCTCCTCCACTATGGTGGAGGGATTTGCCATAATCTCCACGCTTGGCAGGCGGGTTGGAGATCGCAGTTTAAAAGATTGATGTTTTTCAGAGAGCGCTGCTGCCCATTCTCTGTTTGTTGTGTAGTCCCTAAGTCGCCTCTTACGACACCCGCGGGAAGAGTAGGGGTTGGTGACAAATGTATTCTACTCTGCCGTCACCACACGGCGATTCTTCCGATATTTTCTGTTGAATCCCTTATTCTTACTCCGACAATTCATTTCAACCTAGACATACATAAGGATGACTACAATGCTAACATTAAGTTCAATCAGATCGTAGACGAACACTGGGGCGATTGGCATCATATCTATTGCGATGCATCTAAGCACTCTCCAACGGGTCATGTTGGCGTTGGCGCATACCATAAACAATATCATATTGTCCAGAAAATAAAACTCCCTCCAGAATCATCAGTCTTTACAGGAGAATGTTTTGGACTGTTTAAGGCTTTAGAGTATGCTCTCCTTATGAAATTAAACAAAACTGTAAATTTTGTGACTCTAAAAGTGCTTTGCAGGCATTACATAAATTTCCATTTAAGAACAATACTAATTATCCTATTATTACAGAATGCAGGAAATTACTTCACAAATGTAGTCTTAACAGTCATTTAATTAATTTTGCGTGGATTCCTAGTCATACCAATATTCCAGGAAATGATAAAGCTGATAAGCTGGCCAATGAAGCGGTTGAGTGTGGAGATATACATCCGTACACAAATTATTGCCATGACTTAACGGCAGCCCTTCCCAAAGCTTATCTCAAATCTGCCTGGGATGAGAATTGGGAGTTCACTAGCCAATCTAAGGGGAAACATTACAAGCTCATTCAACCATCCATCCTTTGTAAACCATGGTTTGTTAAAATGAATCTTTCCAAAACAGTTACTACCATTTTAACTAGAATGCGACTTGGTCACGTGTGCACTCCAGCACACTTGGCTAAAATTCATGTACTTGATAATGATTCGTGCATTTGTGGTTCTGGCGTCGGAGACTTAAATCACATATTTTTTTACTGTTGCCTATATGATCGTTCCTCTTTTATTAGTTCTCTTTTAGCCATTAAAATTCCTTTTCCTACATCCATCACTTGCCTATTATATACCAATAACATTGATGTTTATAATATCCTAGCCGAATTTATTACCCATAATAATATAAAATTGTAAATAGTAATGTATATTGTACTTATGTAAATATTATTTTATTTTTATTATTTTGTAATTATATCACACCTAAATTGATCCTATGAAAACCATCCTTTGTTCCGTTTCCATCCGTAATTGATTCGTTTCCCTACCTTTTAACTTTAACCCAATCCCACCCTGTCTAAACGCAATGTCCGCAAAACTTATGGCAAAACTGAACGCAAAAATCAAGAACCCTGTCGTGGCTAAACGCAAACCGCGAGAGCCATAAAGAAAAAAAAAAAAGTATTGGAATTTATCGACTGAAGTCGCTGTTTGGAAGCAAGTTTGATCGTAGTATGGAAGTTTCCGTACCCTGATATTTACATTACAAATGTCGGAAAAAACTAAAAACTTCGCTGCTCCGGCCGCTAAAACGTTGAAAACTAAGCGGCCTTCGACCGTTAGCGTTACGGCTACTACATCTCGCGGTAAACTTACTGCGACAAAAGAAAAAATTGCGCCGCGACCACCACCAACAAAAGTGAACAAAAATGCGACTTTGCTTGGAGATGGAGACATGACAATCTGTAAACAAGATGGTGCGATGCCGGACTTCGATGCAGAGTACCGCCAAATAGCCTATGGGAAGTTTTTACGTGCGATGTTAGAAGAATGTCTGGTTGACGACAAAATACAGAGAGAGGAGACGCAAATGGACATACAGATGGCTCAGCTAGCTGATAGGTTCCAAAAGACTATGGACCAGCTCGATAAAACCAATCGGCGGCTGAAGGACATCTCTTTTGTTGTGGAACAGAAAAGGTATGTGTTGTACACTCATTGTAGTTCAGGCATATCTTTCTTCGACTATAGTATAAAACTCTTGTGTCACAGTGTTTGTACAGTCGACAGCACATCAAGCTATACATTTTCGTTGCAAACTCGCCCCTATCGCAACTACGTAAGATACCGCAGTGTTTACGTTGAAGTGCTGTCGACCATACTATTTTTCACACTCCAAAGTGATAAGGGTTTTTCTCTCACGCGTATGTAGTTTCGGGTATAGCTAGTTGTTTATAAAATTATTGTAATTAATTAAATAACATTTGTTTTCTATCACAACAGCTGTTATGTACTAACCAATTCTCTATTTCTAAGCTTTATCACAGTTCTTCCTAATAATTTGTAAAGATCAAAGTAAAAATATCATTTTTCTTTAATTTCCAGGTTGCTAGACCTCAAAAACACAGATTCATCGCAGTTCTTCCAAATTACGGACGATTCGAACGCCCAAGATTTGTTACTCAATCTCAACGCAGCAGAGCAAGCGTGTCTTGACAAACTTGAAACGAAGAACGTTGATTTTGGCTTC